TCGCGTGATCCTCGATGGAATTAAGGAAATAGTGAATGAAAATATACCACTTGATAGGCAAAATCCTGGCTACATTTTTATATAATTTTTGTACCTTCACCGCCTCAGGATCACCGTCCGCCCGATTTAGATCAATTCGCGTCTGATCTAAAATGTAGAATCTGATCCAACCACGCGCGCGTATTTAGAGCCCAAACCATCTCTCTTTTCAGTTCATCAAACATCTACTTGAAGTAAATTAAAATGGCCAGAACAAAGCAAACAGCACGTAAATCAACTGGTGGTAAGGCCCCACGTAAGCAACTCGCTACCAAGGCAGCAAGAAAGACAGCCGCTCCACAAGCAGCTGGTGGTGTTAAGAAGCCACACCGTTACCGTCCAGGTACTGTCGCCCTCAGAGAAATTCGTCGTTACCAAAAGTCCACCGAATTGCTCATTCGTAAATTGCCATTCCAACGTCTTGTTAGAGAAATTGCTCAAGACTTCAAGACTGACTTGCGTTTCCAATCATCTGCAGTCATGGCTCTTCAAGAAGCTAGTGAAGCATACCTTGTCTCACTTTTCGAAGACACCAACTTGGCAGCTATCCATGCAAAGAGAGTTACTATCCAACCAAAGGATGTTCAACTCGCCCGCAGACTTCGCGGTGAGCGCGTCTAAACGCGTCTAACTTAGACAAACCTTATTATACACCTATGAAGGACATCATGTAACTTATTGTACTGTACAATTATGCATCTTAAAATAATTACGTTCAAATAACACTTGCAATTTAAATGTGCATTTTCATAAATATGGAGTAGTCTATGATGCGCCTACATTTAAGTTAAACACCAACGGATAAGGTGGTTGCCATGACGAGAGTAGAATGTCTATCCCAGATCTCTTGAATTTTTACTAAAAGAGCAGCGCAATTCTTATTCTCATCCGTACTTTCAAGTAAATCATAGGCGTTCTCGGCCCATCGTCTTAACAATGGTAATTTCGAACTCTCAGCGAGTGTTCTACCTCCCTCTATGTCATTCGAGAGACTAACAACTGCTAGTGCAACATTTACAGAGGCTGCTATGGTATATTGAGGTAGAGCCAAGATCAATTCCAATGACTCTAATGCGAGAATGTGTATAAACTCAGGTGCGTTCCTAGCTGACCATAACATTAAGGCTAAGGTCTGTAATAAAGGTCCTAAAAACTCTTTATCCAATCTAACACGTGCTTGACTATTGAGTGCGAACCAAATCTCATTTATAAGCGGCATAATGAAAAATTCACTGGCTATTTGGTTGAATCTCACGTTTTGTACTCTAGACTGACGATCTACGAGACGGTATTCCTCTAGAGCATTAGACGGTGTTTCCGTATTTTCAACAATCAGTGGTTTTGAGGGTTTACTTGATTGTAATTTCAGTTTCCTCTCTCGTGCAACGTTGGGCATGTCATTGCCGGCCTTGATTCTCGCATCCGATATACTAGTCTGTGAGAGACTCTTCAAGATAGCTTCGACTTCTGAATGATTTGCGACATTTTCAGGTATAGCTTTCCTTGTTGTAGTTTCCGTCTTAGTTATAGGAGTTGGTATTCCACTAGATAGTTCGCGAACACCTAATCCTATAGCTTGGAGAGCATTTATACGCTGTCTCAATGAGATGGATGTGCTGAAAAGATGCTGAATGAGACACCTGAGGTGATTAGCGATGTGATTCCTGGATAATGTACAACTTACAATGCTGCACGCTGAGGCGAGCAAACAATTAATACTCTCAGGGCTTCACTGCGCAATTCTTCAAATCCATCCAATCCAAACTGGTCTTGTATGGTCAGCAAAGTGAAAGCCAAATTGTTGGAATTCTCGAGAAGCTCCCTGTGTTCGCGTTTGTCATTAATTAAGGCAGCTGCCCATTTGAGTGCGACTTCCTCCAATACGGCTGCTTCATTACCCTCTTTGCCGTCATGTCTAAGCATATCATTCAGTTCAGCTATGTATACAGGTCTGTTGACTTTGCGTTTAGACAGTATCGTCGGATCATTAGCTGCCTCTTCATCATCACTGTCTGGCTTATTGATATTGAATTTGTCATAATCGATTTCATAGCCTTCTATAGAATCATCGCTGTCGCTATCATTATGTTGAGTGATGGAGATGTCATCCGCTGATGTTTCTGATTGCTCCTCTTCGAGATGTTGTATAGGCGCACCACCATCATCGACTCTCGACCTGTCGACTAATTGTATAAGACGCTGGATCTCGTTCCTCCCTGGACCGCTACCTGAAAAGGCACCATCTCCAAACGTCAATCTATCAACGCCATCATAGTTTGCGAGATATTGTGCAACCAACATACCTAACAATCTACCGAAGGGATTAGGAAGCGACAAGTATGATGGTATGGCATGGGTAACATTGCTATCATTTAGAAGTGTATTTGGTATTTGCCTCTTAACACCTTCTTTCTGTATAAGGAGGAGAATCATAGTTGAGTACATTGTAAGCTGATCAACTGGTACTCTCTTTATGAATGACGGATTCGTCCAAATGTTAAGTATGCTTGTGAAGATGTTGAATGATACTTTCGATTGTGATATCCACAATGTGAGTGCGCGCACAATTCTTTCGTCAAGAAGCACCTTACTTCCACTGATAAGTACATCCGTAATGAATGTTGACGTGTTTTCGTCAATGTTACCCCACATTTGAACCAGCGAGTGAGCTATTTGCTTAACATCTCTGTTTGAATCCTTAAGTGCATTGAGGAATTCTTCAAAATAAGTTGCTATTTGAGCAGGTGTAAGATCCAAAAGCGCTAAACGTAGATTATTACAGCTATTGTTGTGCTTATCATAATATTTCAGAGTTACACTCCAAAATGACTTGAACCTGTCGCTATACCGTGTAAAACCTAGCAAATGAAGGCGTTCAAGAGGATAACTTGGTGTACTGCAAGTCGTGGAAAGTGTGGATAAATAATCTTTAGTAAACTTTGCCATAAAATTGCTATATATTGTCAGAGCTTGTCAACCTATCGCATTGCACTCACTCTGATTCAAGTATAGAGGGGAGATGTACGGACGCTTGCGATAAACGTGCATAGAGATTACTTAAACGCGTTGGTAGACGCAGCAAATTGTCTATAGATTGGTCATCTCCTGCGTTCTTAAAGATGTTTATCTTGACAGTCAATAGCTCGATCAAGAAGAGACAGAAAGTGATATTATTAATAGGAGAGCTATTAGATAACTCGCTCGTAGTGTAGGATATTACATCTCTAAATCTGCGCTCGCTATTGATAATCAACAATTGACGCAATTCATCGTCAATTTTTAATTCACGGGTGTAATTTGGTAAGAGATGCTGTAGAGAATGCAAGAAGAGCTTGTCAGATGCTCTACCACTTCTAAGCTGCTCCTTGAATATGGAGAGATGGTCATCTAACATGATGGTACAACATCAAGGTGAGGCCTAATAGCGTTTAAATCAGTATTAAATAATACATTTATAATCTCCCATTTATTTATTGTATATTTTATTCTTTATCTAGAAAGTAAAAGATTTTATTTTTGAACTTCCGCCTCAGATTTGATCAAGGCTCACGCTCTTCTCTTAGGCAGCTTACTCCATCTTCGAAAATGGTGAGAATTGAATAGAGTCTTTTAAAAAAATGCTTATATCGTATAGCCAACTCGTTTGCACAAGACAAGGAAGAGCCGCGGTCATGTCTCCGCCGGGTATGGTAGAATTGGTGTAAGAGGAAGTTTTTCTAGAGAAGACTGTATACTCAATAGACTTTTTAGAAACACCGTAAGCATCCAGGTGGTCGTGGTTTAGCTGGTGGTCAACACCACCACAGAACCAACTTCGACAAGTACCACCCAGGTTACTTCGGTAAGGTTGGTGACCGTCACTACCACCTCAAGCACAACGTCTACTGGAGACCAGTCCTCAACATCGACAAGATCTGGTCTTTGGTTTCTGAGCAAGACAAGTCACAAACCGAGAAGAGCGATTTGGTTCCAGTTGTTGACACCCTCGCACACGGTTTCGGTAAGGTCCTCGGTAAGGGTCGCCTCTCCAAGCCAGTCATTGTCAAGGCTAGATTCGTCTCTGAACTCGCTGAAAAGAAGATCAAGGAAGCTGGCGGTGTCGTCGTTCTCACTGCTTAAGTGAAGAGTTGTACTAACTATTTGAACTCGCTTTTGAACGTATAAGAACTGTTTTATGTGCTTCTGTGTATTTTTACGTGAGTTTCGAAAATTGCTCTGACATGGAAAAATTTTCAAGTTGTATAAAGGCAAGCTAGCTTATTACATTTCAAAGCATAATCTATATGCATGATTGTGTGTCTAAATTATACAAAAGTTCGAAAAGAAATTATTCCAAAAAAATCCTTGAGTCTATTTATTTCACCAATCGTAACTCTCAGAGTGTGCAAAAAGTCGTCTCGGGAGATTTTCATCTCCAGTAGCTATCTTGAGCTCAATTGAGGAGCACTCATTCATTGTATCAAACATGAAATCGCCTGGTCCACAAACAGATACTGCAAGATCACCACCTTGGGCAGCAGCAGAAGTATTCCTTATGATGCTCTTCACATCGGGCCTTCCTTTGACAAAGCTGTAGAATTTGTCGTCATGTACCAATTCCTTCTCAACGTCGGCGTTACCAGTGATGTGAATAGTGATATTCAGATTATCGAAGCTTGTGTAACTAGACAACTGCTTGAATGTCTGACTGAACCAATCAAGGGACTCAGTCGATCTGATTGTCCATATGAAATCAATATATTCGATCAAAGTCTCTGATCTTTCCATCTTTCTCATCAGATCGAGCAAAATACTGATATTGGCATTAACACCAGTTCCTCCACTTAGCAAGAGTACGCGAGAGTATCCATCTAACGGGGTTGGCAAACCACCGTACGGTCCATCAATTAAAACTGGTATGGTTTGTTTCCCAGATTGTGCCTTCGAGTTGAGTTTACCAGTGATACCTTTTTTGCCTCGCAGAAGCAATTGCATTATGTTAGAATTACTATGCACATCAAGTGATGGAATCGAAGAAATAGTAAACGGATGACTTTCAATTATGTTGATAGTCGGAAAACGAAGGTAAATATTTTGAGCTGGCTTCCATCTAAGTGGAGTGATTATGCGTAATCTAACAATATCATCCGCATGGGAGTGAAGTTGGGCATCATGCCATTTGAACTCATTAGCCCAGAATGTTATGAGTATTCTGCCAACCCATGACCAGATAAGTACACCAGTGGCCATAAACATATGATGCCATGTTGCCGGGTACATAACATCAACGTGGATGAACATCCAAACAAGAAAGAATATTGTTGAAACGACATGTTGTATAACAAAGAACTCGTAATTCAATTTTCTGAAATATCCCATACTTGAAATCACAATCCAAATGAGTGCAACTAATGGTGGTATGCCATTCCAGAATTGTTCAGTTCCATCGTAGTACTTCTTGAGGAAGAATCTAGCCAATTTTGTGCCCCCAAGCTGATATCCTTGTTGATAAGGTTCGATTATAAAAGGAATGGTGTGAACTACTGACAAGAAAAGTATTATTTGTGCGCCATATTGGTGATACACTTGTAGACGCTCATGACTGATTCCTGTAAGAAAACTGATTGGGTTTACACGTGAACCCATAGCGAAAACAGGGACGATCAAACCGAGTGCCATCCAGCCTGATCTGACGCCTAGAGGTGGTGATCCCCATTCTATGCCCGCTCGATAGTATGGGAAAACTGCAAATGACCACACTGTTGTCCAGATAAAGAAAAATGACAACAAGAGCATTGGGAAAGTATATGGAAAGTAAAAGCCACCAAGTCTAAGACGATTGTAGTGCATCGCACGACAAAACGCCGCTATTCTATTGAAAAAGCCAAGAGACGTGCCCCTCATCATTCTTTTCGAGAACGATAAGTATTTGACATATTGAACAATGATTACTATTATGAGTATAGCTGTATAACCCATTGCTATACCCAATGCATACTTTTCCTAGGTATTGTTAGATTACTACACCGAACGTATCAAATCTACTTACAGCCACCCACCAATTATCTTTATCAATTGATGCGGCTTTCCTCTCGTCGGTTGTGTGGCATTCCGTGTACCCCGGTATACAAACTGCCATTTCGATGAACGATGTCGCCAAGTAAGATGGGCTGTCAAATTTACTAATAAGGGGACGCGAAAATTCTGACTGTGTAAGTACATATAAGTGTGTGTTCTATTGCAGTTTCTAGGGTGTGCCGAAGGTAATTTCATCTCTTACTAGATTATTGATCATCTCTATGGCTAGATAGAACGTTGATAATGACATAGTATCGATGGTAGTACTATACGTATTCTTCAAATCAGATCCGTCCGACGTGGTGACGATCATAAGCATCCTTAAGCTTATATCTTCCGTAGTAGCAGGATTGGTGGTAAAATGGTATAAAATAAAATACTATATCTATTCGCTATTTAAGATGTTTTATTTTTTCCTGTCCTCTCCGCCTTCAATTATATGATTCATCGTCGACTGGAGGCAAGTTTAGGATCAGCCTGAAACAATGAGGCATTTTCAAAATGTATGAAAAGAGAGCTTGAGAAATGCTAGCAAGAATATATATGAACTGCGGATTTATATGTATATTTATATCACTATAATTAGTGTTTCTGCTGTAAATAGATCCATTTTTGATAGTATGTAGACTAGACTTCATAGCACCGAAGTATGGATATGCATAATTCAATAATTTAGTATTTATAATGGATTTATCCCTGAAGCCACATCATAAATTATTATGATGTAAAAAAAGTAGCCATGAAAATTTATCTTCTACGTGATAAATCCATAATGAGGTGCAAGCAAATATGTAAAATTGGATGTTAAAGTATCACAAATGAACTGAAATTACTAATGGCGAGTTAGGATGACAGAAAGTAATGATCGTCGTTATGTCATCCATTACTGTCTCCCATATGAGTGGCAAGATGAGTTAACTGGTGAATTGTTACTTATATCATATTAAATCTATACTCTAAATAAAAAAAGTTTCCCTCGATGGATCTGCAAGGCGGATGATTTTCCGAGGAACAGTATGGTGTGATACTGAAAAGCACTATAAAGAGTGTATAATATAGAAAAAAAGAGCATGTTTCACGAATAATTTTTTAATTTTCATCATTACTTAATATTACAGTCTAAGTGACGGTGGATAGACTGCTCATCATATGCTGATCATCTTCCACCAGTACGACGATGTCGAAAAGACCAATCGACAACCAATTTGAGAGGAATAGCAGATTGAAATTATCAGTTTTTAGATTCTCTGGTAATTTATTGAGAGATTCTTCAGCTCAACTACCGTTAGTATCTTATCGTTCTTGATTCTTTATTAACATTCTACAGTCTATACTCCATAAATATTAGACAGCATGCTAAGAATGCACGCGTATGTTCTTTTAGAGAAAAAGGTGCGTTATAGCTTAATAACTTCTCTGCACACATTTCTAAATTGCAAATCAGTCGATCGAAGGCCAATAGATCCGCCACCGATTATACAAATACACACAGATGAATATGATAAGAGGTTTGTTTACCCCTTTAGCCAAATTTACATTTGCTAATCAACTTGACACAGCGAATTTCATCAATCAACAGCCTTTTTTATGACAGCAACCCTTATTCAACCGTATGGTGATGATTTGAATGAAGTTTACAGCCAGAAAAACGTTCGTGCTACGGCGGGTATCACCGTACAAACACCGACAAAGTTAAAAGATGAGAATGGTACAGGTATGTTTTTTTATATTAAACTTTTTATAGCGCTATTAACAAGCTTTAGATGGTTCGTTTTGTATTTGGAACCACATTTCAGTCCGACAGGAAGGTGAATTTAGGTTATACTTCAGACTTTTTGAGAGGCGCGATCTGGATATCGTGCAAGTTGCAAGCACTATCTCAGATATTTTCGCAGTACACAGTCCAAAAAATTTCCCTGGAATGTCCGAATCGAGTTATTTAACAAAGTGTTTAGCCAGTCAAGGAGTTAGGATAAGGGTTAGAAAGGAGAATAAGGCTTTGAATAATAAGATAAATGATATAGATACTGATAATATATCTTCTTCATATGTTTCCCGATCGTCAAGCAACGTTACTGCCAATAGCAACACTGTATTCAATTATGTACAACATCAACATTCATACCTACAACCCCAGGATATACATCTTCCAAGGCTATTACCCCCTATTCAATCGCCCCATAGCACCCCAATTTCACCATCACCTCTTCATCAGTCATATATACCTTTTAGCAACTCATCTAGCTATACTATCCCGCATTCTGGAGTCCGTAGGATATCACAGCCTCCACGACCATTACCACCTGAAAAGAAAAATGATGAGTTGAGCAGCAGGCTCAACGACAGTTTGATTGATAGGCTAAGTGACAGGTTAAGCTCCAGGACGTTACCAGATCCTATCAGTTCGCTTGGTCATATAAATCAGCAACACCAGCAGCAAGAACAACGACAGAAACAAGAACAAGAACAGCAGCAACAGCAACAGAGTAAAGGCAACATCTTCCAACTTTTAGATGCCGCAAGGACATTAAACGAAGATGAAACGGATTTGAACGTGAATTGAGAAATCACAAAATCCTATTAAAGAGCTTTTATCATCATTCTTTACATAGAACATATACATACATCATTTCCTATGTAAGGGAGATTCAATGCATAATATTTTACAGGAACTTTATGCAAATCTAATAGTTAAACAAGTCTTGAGAGATGTTGAAAAAGTCATATGGAGATGCTTTATTAAGTGATTCTTCTATATCTGCAAAAAAGTTATCGAGTGCGTTGGAGAAATGTGGTTGCAAGTACTGTAACGTAGGTAAATTAATAGTGTACTCAGGAGTTGGGCTACTGAATTGCCCATATTGGCTATCGAAAACATTGAAAGTATTCTCTGAACTACTAGTAATTGAGGTTATGTCCGAATAATATACAGGGTTGAGAGTTGTTTGAGGAAGTGTCATGTCCGGGATATCTGGAACTTCTATATAATTAGTATCGTTATACGTAAGTAATTCTACATTAGGCAATTCGGATGATACTGTTGCCGTTGAGGTTGATTCTGAGTTGACTGAATTAATACTCTGAGTTGTAGTTTTTCTTGGACGACCACGTAATCTACCATGAGGTTTGTTTTCCTTACTTGTTTGCTTCTTTTTACATGAGTCACCTTGTTTCACGGTATAATTTTTCCGTGGCGAAAACTTGTAGTCAGGCCAAAGTATCTTATGCATCTCCTTCTCTTTCTCTGCTAATTGCTTGAAATGGGTTTTGACATCATCTGTCTCTTTAGCCCAGAGTTCTGATATGGCAGCAGACAAAGCGCGCATGCCAACGCCATCTCCGCGGCGACGTCTAAGCTCTTTGCTTTTATTTGTGCGATAGATGATCCATGCGCTGGGATGAGGTATTATTATGACAGCCTATGTTCCCAATAAATCACACTTACTTTCGTGGACGCGGCACCTCTGCTTTTGGGTTTTTGAGCGACTTACGAGTCTTTCTGACCCTCTTTGGTGGCTGAGGAGGTGATACTGGAGCTGAATTCACATTCTCTGGTGTGTACGGCTCGCGATCGAGCTCCTGCTCAAGTGCAAGTTCAAGTTCGTGTTCAAGTCCTTGTGTGAAATCTTGCTCTACATCAAAGCCTATCTCTTTATCCTTATCAAACAGGCTCCTTGGCTCTTCCAGCGCGTTGCTAAAACTCATTTGCTTTCTTTTTGACGTGTTTATGTCTATTTTTATTTTAGATTATAATGGGGTTAGACAATAAACCCACTTTGTGACATTAAAGATACAACCTTCAGCCATTTTCGGCATCCCACTCCGCATAGGAGGCGCAATTCCTAACAATGGCCATTGTTCTCTGGCCAAGTAGGAAATTTAAATATTCCCAAAATAACTTGTATTGGTTTGTAGAGAGAACCTGAATTCATATATCCCGCTAAAGTTCCCACTTCTTTCCTTTTCTCGTTGGTGAGTAATGAGTCTGAATCAATCTGCGAACCACACAATGGAGACGTTCCTGCATGAGCGGATGTTTGGTATGCATGTTATCTACACAGAAATGCGTGTATTTTTTGACTACTTGAGTAGATCAATTGATATAATTATGATCTTTATTAATTTTATCGCATTTTTCTTTTTTGTCTACCCCATTGCGCTAATCTCTTTGATTGAGAGAATCCCCCAGTTCGCTTCGCCGAGTTTCTTAATATTAATTTTTGGAATTTGTAAAATCATCAGATTACCTACTTAAATTATATGCATATGTTAGCGTTATGATACTCGCTACGCATGTGTGTGGCCTGCGTTGCAAATCGTTACATGGTTATGACGTCTGCAGGTACGATCAGATAATGAGCATCGAATATGCGTGAATACGTTGAATAGAAGTTGAATGATTTGTCTAATACCCCTAGAAAATGTGTCACCTACTAACTCATCCTACTAACTCATTGGTATTTTAGAACCTCTTTGAGGAAAAAACTGTCTGAGTATTAAGAATAGAAATTGTTGTAAATAATTATTCCACAGTATTTCTCTTAGTAAAAGCTATCTAGCTTAGACTATGACCACATTGCCAGGAGACGGCAGTGTGAAAATTGAACAGGTACGAAACCAGGAATGTGGATGTATAATTGATTATTTCTCTATGAAATAATATAAATTTTCTTCTAACCCCATTAATTATTTCGACGCTGATTGACATCATAACATACTCCGATACTTTACACCTTGACCCAAACCATCATATCTAACGCTGGTTTAATGGCTTTATTATTATCTACTTAAGAAAATATTATAGTCAAACAAATAAATAAACAACTCAAAAATGTTTCCCAGCTCGGCGTACGCCATCAAACCAGAAACCAATGTATTTGAAGAGACTTGCAAGGAGCAAAATTCGAAGGCATATAATGACCTACTCCCTATCACAGGCTTTGATTTATTCCGTAGGTTCTTATTTAACAGAAAGTTATTCTAATTGGTGAGACAATAGGTAATTACAGTTTTGCAGGCACTGATCTAAACTATCAATCTGTATCTCTACCGCAATTGCAAATCAACACTCAACAATCCACTCAGCTGCCAAATCAGCTACCAGATCGTAGAGGATCAGACGAGACTACCAGCAGCAATAATAGCGATTACAACCATGCTAATAACCGCACCGTAAAGCCACGTAAACAATCATACAATAGCATAGTTAGTGATGACGTCGACGTGCCAGCTATAATGAAGCCGGTCGGTAGACGTGGAGATGCTTCATTACACATCGCTGAGGACGGAAGAATGCTGACTAAAGAAGTATGTACTAATAACAACTAATTTACTATGAACGCTAACAACATGATAGGAGCAGAGGAGGCTTAGTACCGAGAGAAATCGACTTGCTGCAGCGAGATGTCGTAAACGTGAGTAGTTATTTTGATAATAAATAACCTAATAAATAATTTACCTAGGTAAGAGCTTATGGACTCGCAGTCTTCAAGATGAAGTTGACAACCTGCTAAATGAGCAAAAGAATCTCAAAGAGGAGAAAGAAAAGCTCACTAATGAAGTACAAGAGTTGAGAGACACTGTATCTGAACTTATGAATCAATCAGTATCAACAAATTCCAACTACTTATCAAACAACCTTCTCTATTAAAGTTGCTAGTAACCAAATCTACTTCCTAGCGTCACAAACGATGCTCGCTATAATAATTATGGTTGTTGTATTTATCTAATTACGCGCATTTAAATGTATTGATCAGTTTTTTATTGTCAAATACATGACGATCTAAGTACGTCACGCAGGTTTTCCCAATACCTTCTTTTTCGAGGGCCTGTGATTAATGAATGATAAGGCCAATATGAGTAGTGAGGATAAGGTTTCTCAATTAGAGTCTTTTATCAATGAGGGTGACCCTCAGATAAGAATTGATAGTAATCCAAAGATGTGGTACGGTAAGTTTAGGTGACAATTTCAATATAAGAAAAGCTGAAAAAAAAGATAAGAAATGGCTGAGTTGGGTTTAAATCCATTAGATGATCTTCTTCAGCCGTTTAATCCAACTATACCAACTTGTGATTCTCTACTAACTTCGAGTACAAGTACCTCATATCAGCCAACTCCTAGTAATACAAATACACCAGTAGAGGTTACCCGTCCATATGAAAATCTACTTGAAGCAGTATCTTTGAAAAAGCCCGTTGTAAATATGAATCAAGGCTATTATTAAGATATACTGACGTTCTCTACAGGGACGCGCAGGTGATAAGACTTTACACGTTAATGCAGATGGTCAAGAGCTAACGGAAACTGAAAAGAAAAAAGTAGCGTTGTCTCGTAATAGAGACGCAGCATTGAGGAGTCGCACGCGTAAAAAGCTCTGGCTGACAGAACTCGAACAAAAAGTCGAGAAATTGAAAGGTGAACAGTCAGAACTATTGTTTGAGAAGAGTACACTTCAAGAAAAGATTATTGCACTTAAAGAGCAAATAGTCATACTAAAAGAGGAACTTCTGCAAACGCAAGGGTATTCCTACCCTGTTTTATAGTTCGCTCTATTGATACAACGAAACACTTGATCAAGGGCATCTCCAAAAAATAAGTTTCATCCGTTCGTTCCTCGCGGAACTTGTTAGATTTTTCTATTAAGGGCTCGTGTTACAATAATTAAGTTTCGTATACTTGTAATTTGAAACAAGACATTTTTCTATAACACAGAAATTCTAGTGAGGATTTATGTTAGCAACCTACAAACATGTTTTATCTAAAAAGTCTTGGTAGAATCAATCTGATTGATTAAAATTGATCGTAATATATCAAGGTGTTCCTAGTAACCTCCCATGACTGGTATTTGCGGCTTTTTGCAAATATATGTAGATGAATACGTACAGTGTATCTAATTGTACCATTTAGGGGCATCGTTGGCTCGTTTAAGGCCTCCCCATGTATATACGATTAGATGACGTTTATGATCTCATTGAAGAAGTTCATCATCACGTGTTAGCTTGGGTGCATAAATTTATTCTATATAAGCGCTAGTTCACTTTCATCTTCATCTTCATACCTTAATAATGTTCTTACGTACACTTACGACAACCGCACTAGCTAGCTTATTAGGCTCAGTACTAGCATTAAACAATGGCGTAGCTGTTACACCTCAAATGGGCTGGAATAGGTATGTTCAGTTCAGCTGCTATTCCTCTCTAAGACCTTAACAGCTGGAATTCGTTTGCATGCGAAATAGACCAAGACTTGATTACACAATCAGCGCAAAAGTTGGTCGATTTAGGACTCAGAGATTTAGGCTACACCTATGTTGGTATAGATGATTGCTGGCAGGCAGACGCGAGGGACCCTGAAACGAACAAATTATCTTACAATGCAGAGAAGTTCCCAGATGGAATTAAAGGCGTCGCTGATCAAGTTCATGGTTTAAATCTCAAGCTTGGTATTTACTCGAGCGCTGGTACACTCACATGCGGACGCATGCCCGCATCTTTAGGCTACGAGACTGAAGACGCGTCTAGTTACGCAGAATGGGAGGTAGATCTTCTCAAGTACGACAATTGTTTCAATCAAGGCCAATCTGGTACTCCAAAGTTATCTTATGATAGATACAACGCTATGTCACAAGCATTGAATGCGACCGGAAGACCAATTGTATACGCAATGTGTAATTGGGGTGAGGATGGGCCTTGGAATTTTGCAACTACAATCGCTAACAGCTGGCGTACAACTGGTGATATCACTGATAGTTTCACCGGTGAAGATGATCGCTGTCCTTGTAAAGGAAATGAAGGATTAGATTGCAAACTAGCTGGATACCATTGTTCTATTACTAATATACTCGAAAAATCAGTAAGCTTAGGCCAAAAGAGCTTTTCTGGCGCTTGGAACGACCTCGATGGCTTGGAGGTTGGTGTAGGAAACCTCACAGCTACACAATCACGCTCACACTTTACTATGTGGGCATTCATGAAGTCACCACTTATGATTGGCGCAAACCTTGAGACAATAGATGATGAATCCCTCGAAATACTAAAGAATAAGGCGGTAATTGATGTCAACCAGGATGCGGGTGGTGATGCCGCTTTCAGAGTATGGAAAAGAGAAGTAGGAGATGGAGATGTACAGCTCTGGTTAGCGGAACTCTCCGATGATAATTATGCGATCGCTGTTTTGAATACGTCATCTAATGAGCAAACAACAGACGTCCAGTTTGACGAATTGTTCAGAGGAATAGACTTCAAGTCTGGAGAAAGAGAAGCTACTTGGAATATAACCGACTTATGGCAAAAAGACGGTGAAAACTGGGGATTAAACCTTGGTAGCGTCAGCGGTGCTATCGGTGAAATATCGGTTGAACCATTTGGTGTTGTCGCGTATAAGCTTGAGAAAGCAAATTAATAATGTATTCTCTAATAAGTTCAGATAAACTTTTCTTGTATTTTAAATTCCTTGAGAAATTTGATTTTGTTCCGGCTTGCGCTTACTCAGGTTGTGATGGAGAATCCGGGGAAAGAAGAAGGAGAGAGACCGACGAGAGCTGTAGGTGTTTAGTTAAATATAATAACCCTGTGCTTATATTTCCCTTAGTGTGATGGCTGCAGGTGCGTATTTCTTATCAGATTGATTGTTACTTAACAGAAACAAGGAAAAAGAAGATAAAGTAAGTACTATTGATATTATTTAGTCTCCTAATCAATTCAGATGCAATGGTCCAGCTAAACATCCAGATAAATGCACTAACTGTACAGTCAGTAACACGGCTTGCTTGTACAACGAGCCTGCTCCTAAACGTGGATTCACAGTCAGCTATGTTAGAGAATTAGAGCGTAAAGTAGCCCTGTATGAGGCTTTAGTCGAGAAGTTAGCCCCAGGGAGAAATCTCAACGAAGATGTCGAAAGAGCGAGCAACAGTTCGCCGATGTTTCCACCTAAGAGGAATTATAATAGTAGCAGTGACATGGATAGATATTCGTCAGCTTCGAGTACGACAATACCAATGACGAATATCATGTCCCGGGACCCCTCCATGACGACGTACAGGGAAGAACCAGAACAGTCAGACAACTCAGACGACGAGATGTTCGAATCGCCCGCAATGGGCCTGCACGATGATCATGACGAATCCAGTACAGATAGGATGAGGTACTTTGGTAGCGTCAAAGGTTTACTCGTGAAAGTCAAACAATACACAGGACCTTCGACACCTCCGTTGTCAACGCAACAAAGACCAGAATACTGGAATACACACGAAAAACTTGAAGAGGATAGCTACATCGAACCATATGTTAATGAAGATTTTGGTGATGAGCGACTTTATATGTTATTAGTTGAGATTTACTTTGATAAAGTAAATAGTACACTTCCATTACTCAATAAAAAGAGGTTCGTTGCAGAAATCAGTCAAAGGAAGTTAGAGAGGAAGTTTGCTAGCATACTCATCTTGGTTTGTGCCTTGGGTGCACTCTACTGTGATGACCAACGAGTTTTGTTACCTAGCAGAGAACCATTTAGGTTCCTTGCTGGTAGCAGCTTCTTAGCAACTTACAAAAGGAAAGCACCAGATTATAGTTTATCTGCTGCCACATTAGAGGACATACAGGCCCTAATTTTGCTGCAGATGTTTGTTCAACGTAGTACACATCTTAAGAGCAGCTGGAATTTAAACGGTGCTGCGCTTGTCATAGCAGAAGACATCGGACTGCATCTCCAATCTGCATTGCCAGATCAAAGCGATAGAGAATCCAGAAGTCGTGCAATGTATTGTATTTACCTCTTTGACAGGTCCTTAAGCGCGGCATATGGTAGACGTATTCTATGTAAAGATGAAGATCTCGCTTTAGAACTGCCTAAGCCACTTCCTGAGGAAATCGGTAGCGATGAGGAGTTGGCTATTATCTATTTCAATCATATGGTTAAGCTTTATGGAATACAAGGACAAATTATGCAACAAATATACAGTCTCAAGAAAGGCAACGAGAAGAATGATACGCATAAAAGCGTCGCATCTATGAGCTCGAAATTGAATCAATGGCTAGATGCTGTACCAGAACAATTGAAGTATACGGAGAGATGTTGCAATAACTTCATCTTCCAACTGGCTAGTAACCTTAGAATCGCGCATTATAACATTCAAGTGAGTTGATGATAGTTTTGAGTACTAGATTCGCTGAACAAGATGATTTAGATATTCATGTACAAGAACTTTGTACCACACCCTCATACTAAGAAACTTTCAAAATTCAAGATGCAAAGTTTGATGATTTGCGCAAATGCTGCGAGATCTTTGCTTAGCATTTTCAATACTATGGAACTGAAGAGATCAATTGTGCAGAACTATATTGATGTAATGCTCAATTTAAGTGTGAGTAATTTGTTTTATTCATTATCACCACACTAAACCTGATAAAAGCCTTTCAATGCGATTGTCATTTTGATTCTCAGTGCTTGTGAAAGCCGACGGAATGGACAGGATAACCAATCGGATTTAGAGTACATAGAAATTGGCGTTAATATCTTACGTAGAAGGGAGATTAGAGATATTGTCGCTGGAAAATCGTTAGATGTCATTCTGCATCTCATCAAGGCATGTCAGTTGCGAGTAAATACTACCACCAAGCGTCGCCGTAGCAATGTAAGTCTATCATATTACAAATAGCGTCCTTCTTACTTTCATTAGGATATGTATTTGGCAACATCTTCATTAAAGGCTTTGACAGAGATCCCTAGTGCGCAACAGACTAGTGATAGTACTAGTCCCGCGAGAGATGACCAGATGCTTCTGAACAGCATGTTCAACTTTATGCACTCAAATCCTATCAATGCGTTCGACAATGGCACAGAGAATGCGACATTCATAAATTCAACACCTGTCGACAGCGCTGATTTAGAATGGAGTAGCTTCCTATCGTCGGTTTTTCAAGGATCATAAATTTAGATGTATTTTTATAGAACAACGTTCACACTTTTGTAGAAAAAGCAAATTACTCCGTTACGTTTATTTTGTTTTCTCTTGAAATTTCTCAGAGGCATCTGAAACCTTCTTTGCTGTTTCGTGACCGAACTCTTTGGCCTTCTGCGAAGCACTTTCAACGTGAGGTTTTACATCTTCAGCTTTCTCTTCAGCTTTTTGTTTGCCTACTTCTGCATTTCCTTGAGCACTATCAGCAGCTTCAGACATGCCTTGTTTTGCTTCTCCAGCCAGGTCGCTACCTTTTACGTAAACTCTATCACCCGTTGCTTTAGCCTTTTCTTTCATCACTTCTGCTTTCTCTTCTGCTTTCTGTTTCTCATCTTTACCGAAAACAGTTTGTTTGACTGTATTAGCTATAGAATAGCGTATTGGAGTAGTTGTAGCAAAAGATCTTTGAGTTTGACGTGTTATTTGTTTCATAAACATTATCGTTTCTGTCAAAAATGCGTCTCTCCAAGCGGAATAAATAGCCCATTACTGACATCATCCAATTGTGAATCATCAGTTGGTGCAGGTATCATCAGGTCCTTATTGTAAGTTATAAATTGGAAGTTAGCTTAGTTATAAGGACTATGTAACGTATCGATTTACTATCTCCCTAGAACAGAAATCCAGCTGTGTTTTGTTCGCGCTGTCACACTAACCATATTTTTTATGCTAGATGGGTTTTGTGTATATTTGAAATTTTATCAGAATTTTTTAACCTGTAAACACTGTTAAGTCTATTAACTATTGAGATATTTTCTCCCGCAGTAAATTCCGTAACAACATTCCAGTGTCAAGAACGCACACATTAATCAATTGAGCGTGTCGATAGGGTCGTTTCGCCATGACCATTATACCATTCCTGACAGTATCTGTCATTACTACTTGTACGTCTTGCTTGTTCATTAAAGACGTAACTTAGATGACCACATAGACGTTAATAGCGTGCCGATTCCACAACTGCTCGGTGGATCACTAGACTTAAGTGAGTGCTCATATTATTAGTATGACAGTCCCCTAAACACCCTCTAGATGCTGGGAACTTGGAAGCACCAGTGAATGACGGACTTGTAGACAACCTCTTAGGAAACTTGACTTATTGAATACACTATCCTTTTTATTTCCTATCTTGTAGTTGTAATTATCTGCTACTGAGCACCCGGTCCATGAAACATCATTATCTGAGTCAAATTCCTGAAACTCAAATCTACGGATAGAGTTTGCATCCAGACCTTCTTTTTTAAAAAATGGTAAAATAGGAAAATTGTTCCACTTAATACAAACTCGGTCACCAACGAGGATGCCTAAGTAGTTCCCCACATAACCTACCATCATAATTGCTGTACGACGCCATTAGGTGTTTACGTATGAGAAGTTTTTTATAAGTTCTGAATGAAATTGCCGTAAGTTTCACCTCATAGACTTGTTATGCTGTATTAATGGGAACGAACTTCTTACTTACGTCGACGAATCGCTACCGGAAGACGGTGAGTTCACCAGCATCAACAGTATTATCGGAAACGCTATATCCAACTATTTGCAGCAAGGGTTTATCGTATGTTATCAGCATTTGCGAGATACTACCAGACGTTTGAAAGTATTGAGAAACCTGAAAATTCTCAATTAAAATAGATCCAGTAGCTATTCAATTAACTTGAGTAAAATGACATTGTCCCTAAATCTCGTCAAATAACACAGCCATGGGTTACCATTCTTGTGACTACTATGTCGTAATTCTTAAGTCAGATTATCGTAAAATCAGATCTTTGACGTTACGAACGTGAGTTGCAAATCGTATATAAAGCACCTTAATAAGTTCCTCATAAATCTAAATGAGCGGAACTTTATATTAATTTTTAATGAGTTGATGTAGAGATTTGTTAGTCTGTCATCATGGAAATTCTTCTTCACTGTTATGAGACCAGTAAAACTAACATTTCATCGATATATATGTGATTTAATAGGACATGTACATGTCCTATTAAATCACAGTTTCACACTTAGTGAATGATGATATAGATAATAAATACTCCGTGGACTATGAAAAAGTTGCTAATGATGGTGCTCAATAGCTGCCATATGTAATAGCGGTTGCATGGTAAGGTAAAAACGAAACTAAGTCTGGTTCAACATCACTCAAATATCTGAAACATTTGGTTGCCGGAACATACATATATTTAACGCAGCTAAGAAAGCAACACACGAGCTTTTAGATATAGCGATGAAAATTAGAAAGGTCTACCTATCTTAAGACGGGAATAAAACGACAAAGGATGTTTTTCTTATTGCTTTAGGAACGCAGGCAGTTCAATCCAATAAGTTTGAGATTATAGGCCGTCCTATAGCTAAAGACAGATGAATATTCGATATAGAACCGTTTGAATACATACGTTTTATCATCATGCACGCTTATTAAAATCCGTACCGCTTATTATCGCCTCGGGCTGGATGCTCACTCGGTCTTCTCTTTTCACCGAGCAACCATCATGGCAGACCTAGTAAATATAATTAAAGAATACACTCCGGTGTTGTTATCAATATCAAAATATGCTGTAGTGGCTTTAATAGCGCTGAATATGAACTCATTTCCACTTGTTTGGCATTTCAGAACGTTTGGATGCGTATATTGGCACAAGTGGTTTGGCAATCACGAGAGGAGTGTCGGCATAGATCCTTTTAAGACAGTATCAACTAGAAAGTATATAGCGACTATCGACGATTGCGATGCATTTGGATTTCACCTTTCCAACAGCAGCTACGCTAAGAACCTTGACTCAGCGAGGTTAGATGCCTGGGTAGAGCTTAACTATAGGTTATTCAAGGAGGCACAAGTTTGGACCCCTCTCGGAGGTGAGTTTGAGTACATTAGTGTATCATCTCTGATGAAGTGATAGCGTCATCCTATTATTTTGTCAAGGAGATTCCATTCGGTAAGAAATATGAAATCAGAACATCAATTGGCGCGTTCGAACAAGATAAATGGTTTTATTACGTTTCAAAATTCGTTTCGAAGAAATCAAAAAAATCTAAAGGATCAACAAGCACTCCAGCAAATTTAGCTACCGCTGGTTCTCATGCAACAGCACCTGATACCGTATCTGGTACTGCCACGCCAATTGCTAAAGATGAATCGCCAAATAGCCTCATAGCGCAGGCATACAACGAGTTAAGCCCTGACGAAGAATTGAATTGTATAGCTATAACACAATATTGTTTCAAAAGTGGTAGATTGACAGTTCCACCTCCAATCGCTCTCGGCTTGGCTGGTCTAGGTAAAAATGGAGAGAAGAATCACGAAATCTTCAAGAAGTTAGTCAAGGAGCACAAATTGAAGGCCTACCTCAGGGGTGGTTACAAAAAAGATAACCCAGATTTCGCTGATGTTGAGCTCAACATCAATGATTTGGAGATTACGAACTCGACTCGTTTTGAGCCATACAGGGCTTTCACTAACGCCCTTACTAGTTTTAAAACTCACTAGATTGGATACTTTCTCTTTAATTTATGATTTTCATGTAACGTAAGAATTGCTCTTTTGTGACACGCCGAACATCCTCAAAATGTAGACCCATTAATTGAAATACATACAAAAAAACCCACAAAAATCATACCCTAAGCAAAAAAAAAATTATATGTTATTGTCGTTAAACGTTTGTATGTTTCTTAAGAAACCTCCTCTTTCGAAACTTTCCCTAGATTCCTCATTATATACACTTTGGGAGTACTTTTCTTTATCTATTAAGCTTGCTATCAGTCTGTTACTCAATAAATCGAAGTTGATCGGTTTAGTGAAGAAAGCTTTGAAGGTTACATTAGTAATTATGATGATAATAATCAGATATACTTACCATCAAATCCACTCTCTATGAGAACGCCATGATGACTTGGTGATATAGATGCAGAGACAGCAAAAATCGGTAGACGGCCGTTTAGTTCATGCCAAATTCTACTTTTTATTTTTCCTTCCTTCTCAGCATTCCTGATTGCTTTACAAGACTCATATCCATCCTTTATTGGCATGAGAAGGTCCATGAGAACAATGTCAAAACCTTCTTCATCTTCTATGACAACTTGTGCACCTGCGTCACCATTATTTGCCAGTTCAACTATACTTCTATCATTTTTAGTTAACTTCTTTTTGAGTATATTGCGGTTTATCGGGTCATCATCTATGTAGATAATTCTAGGTGGCTTTTCATCTGCTATATATTCCGAATGTGTTTTTGCAGTCGACTGGTTTCTGCTATCTACACTTTCAGTATCGTTTATTCTTAATCCATCAATGTCTTCTGAAACTGAATGTATATCACTCTGAGGTATGGATGATGCTTGTCCCGGGCCAGCGCGTATCGGATAAGCGCTGTCTTGTACTTGGAATCGTCCTTTACGATATTTCTTCTTAGAACTACCCGCACTATCTTTACTACTAGCATAGTTTGAACCATTCGTAGTACTTTGCTGTTGGTTCACGTCTACATTCGGCGCAGCGGATTTACCGGAACCGTAAGAATTCTTTGAATTCTTTGAGTTGGTTTTGTTTGTTCTTGATGAAGGAGCAAGAGCTTCAACAAATGAATCAAGTTCATTCCTTTCCATTCTCTTGACTTGTTGTCCAATATGATCAAGTTCGTCTGAAATGTTGCTTTGGTTTGTTGACTCACTGCCAGCGTTTACCTTCTTTGGCATCCTATTTTTATAGCGAATTCTAAATGAACGCTCAGACCTATCTGAACTTTCAGTATTAGACGCTGACTGATATTGGTGTTTAGTGGCTTTATCAATTTGAATAAATATACTCACATCCATAGTTTGTTTATCTGGTAGGTTAAATGGTATAATCACTGTAAATGTGGTACCCTTGTTAGGTTCAGAAGAACACTTCAACTGCCCATCTAGTTGCTCGATTGCTCTTGCACACGAAGCCAACCCTAAACCAAGGTGTACATCACTGTTATCGCTACTTCCTCCTTCAGTACCTTGTTGCTCCACTCTTTCGAATCCTGTAAACAATGCCTCAAGCTTTTTCTTCTTGATACCGATTCCATCATCTTGTACAACAAGAGCAATATTTGCTCTACTATCTGATTCTTGTTCCATTTCAGTTACTGTAACACCAACAGATCCATTTTCTTTATTGTACTTAATTGCATTACTGACAAGTGATGTAAAAATAGTGCGAAGCTAAACTTAAGTGAGCAGGAAGTTTCAATGAGTAACAAGATTTAACATACCTTCCTATGATCACTAATTACGTGAATTGAAGACTTTTCAATATCAACCTTGACTGTAAGACCTCTCTTTTCCGCTTCTTGATGAAACTCTTGAACTGTTTCAACGACGAGGTGTTTTAAGTTTACTGGTTCATTAAACAGAACTTCTTGACCTGATTCAACCTTCGTAAGGTCAAGTAGGTCATTAATAGTGAATAACAAGCTCTTTGAGGCATCTCTACTACGAACTAAATTTTCTCTAGTTTCGGGATCCAATGTACCTTCTAATGCTAATTCAACGTAATTTATGATATGGTTGAGTGGTGTTCTAACTTCATGTGATGCGTTTGACAACAAAATACGAGAAAGCTGATTAGATCTGCTGACTTCTGTTCTTTGTCTCCATATTTCAATAAATTTACCATAAACAACAGCTAAAACACCAGCTGTTTCGAGTTGCTCATCTTCCCATTGTTTCGCTGATAGAATAACGTTCTCAGTCCACTTCTTGAAACTAGCCCTTGGACGTAAAGCTTCATTATCGTTTTTGTTAGGATTACCAGCCCATGAGACTGATGATAGTTGACCCTTCCGCAAGAAACATATGTAATCACTACCAGTATTTGATAATGGAATACAAAGTAATCCAGCTAACGCATCTTTCCTATCCGACTGTTTCAATTCAGGGAAATTCTTACTGATATTGTTTGTATATACTAATTGATCGAAGCCTTTCATCCGCAAAAATTCACCAATAGCGACTATCTCCCTGCTTCGGTCTGATTCACCCATTATTTTCATTGTATCACCAATCGACAAGAGGCCGTAGTCAGCGTCAAAAATACTAAGTAAATCAAATGCCGTTGAAGCGATGTAACCACCGGGGTTGGTATCTGATGGTACTGTTGAAATCAACTTCCTTGATTGAAGACGACGAGTGTAAGCCAGTCTCTCAACATTACGCGATATTGAATCAGACAGTAACTTGAGAACTTGTAGCATTGGGAAAGTTACACGCATACCATTTTCACCACCACTATGACAAGCTACTAAACCATACAACTGACCGAAGGCCACGATACTTATTGAGAGAGATGCCCTCACATCCATGTTTTCCAAGTACTTGAGATGTACAGGTGACATTGCTCTTAGAGCACAATGTGACATATTCAAAGGATAGGCCAAATCGATTTTGTGTCTTACAACCATTCTTGCTGTAAGTTGATCCCTATTATACAATTGACGGACTTTATTTGTTTTGTATAATTCACGGGCCTGTGGGGGAATATCAGAGGCTGGAAAGTGTAAACCATAGTAGAGATCTTTCATCCTTTGCCATTCAACTAACTCAGCTACGACTTTACCGTTGTATTCAGGATCGAATTGGTATAACATAATTCTGTGGAATTGAGTTAAAGATTTTACAATACCAACAGTGACATCAAATAACTCCTGAATATTATCCGCCGAGCTAAGTTGTTCATTGATTTCACCAAGTAGACTGACAACATCCAACGAAGATAAACTTCCTGGCATAGACATGTTTCTTTGAATCTTTGCTCTAGCTTGTGATCTTCTGTGAGCTTTGCGACGTTTATTTGCGGCTTCATCATCTTCATCTGATTTATTATTATCTTCAAGTAAAGTAGCTACCCTTTGACGAGTTTCATGTGCACGATCAGCTTTCCTAATCCTCAATAACGTTTTAAGGGGTTTATTATGAGCTGTCGTACTTCGACGTATATCCTCAATAGAAACACTATCATTGCCATGTGCTGAAAATTCCGCTTCGTGAGTCATTATACGTTGCTTCGTTTCTTTCTGAGTTTGTTTTTGTTGCTGACCAGTCTCCAAGTGAAATGTACCACCACCAGCACTCGGTACAGCATGGACGGTGTCGCCTGACAAATTCGTACCAGTTTTGCTATCAGCACCTGAATTTGAGGTCAAGGCAGCTGTCGTACTACCACTACCGTGTGTAGCTCCTGACTTTGGTGTGTTGTCACTATTACTAAGGTTTAAATCCAGTGATTCCGCTGGCCTGGCATCGCGATTGTCAAACTCTTTAGGTAATTTTGAAACCTCATCTACGTAGGCTGGATATTTTAAAGACACGACAGGTTCAAGTTCAATTATGAATAATCCCTGTTTACCAAAGACTTCTTCTGGAGGAGGATAATGCGAGTTGAGAGGTCGTGGTAAGTCAGGCTTATGAACGGCACTATTGTACTTGTCAGAAGATGCTAATATTGCAAAGATGTGACTTACCACCAGCAAGACCAGACGTTGTTATGTTGACTTTCCGCAGATAGCTCACTCTCACTGTACTGGTCATCGACATTGTCATCTCCACGGCCCGTAATGCCAAAAAATTGAGCTTTCTCTTTTTCGCCCTCATCCGACGAGCCTTCTGAATCGGAGTCTTCTGCGACTGCTAAGTCGAATAAAACATCCCTCATTTTAAGTCTACTGTCATTATCAAGGATAGTTGTAAAACAAGTAAGTGAGAAAAGGAACTCAGGTGAACATCCTATAATTTCAGGACAATTTTCAGATGCTTGACGTACCAGTGAGTTACCGTTGTCATCATTTTGCAATACTATCATAGCACCAAATGGTTGGATAGCACCTGGACGTCCTATTGGCTCATCTTCACATTTCTTCATCTTTGATTGATGATGCGTTCTCAAAAAGTAATTACCTTCCTCTTCGAAATACTTGAAACGACGTGTTGTAGGTAATTGTTCATCTTCATCTGCTAGTGAACTTATGGAAGATTCGTCTTCCGGTGAATTGAAGGGTAAGCTTTCCAAAGAAAGGTCCGACTTATTATGATCTTTTATCCTGTTCATTTTGTCTTTATGTAAATCCATAGCTTCAGCTGCCGTCGATGGTTGTTTCTGATTATGTATTAGTAAAGGGTAATGGATGAAAATGAATACTTGCTCTAGTACTAAGGTTAGAACTTTCACTATCTGTGGAAGCTGATTCTTCTGATAATTCCATCTTACTCTGAACGTAATCAAGCTCTCTTTTCTCTTCTTCTTGCTTTGTAGGTCCGTAATCAGCACTGGAAGGGTCACTTGAAGAGGGTTGTGTGTCGATCTCTTCGTCCTCCGGGAGTGGCTGATTTGGATCATTAAGGTGAACATTTCTGTCAATTCCCCTAGGAGCTGGTCTGTCATGGCCAACAGATGAGCTAACTTTCTCACTGCCTCCTTTACGCCTATCGAAATTAGCGTGATAAGTAGTTGGTGATTTTGTAGGTTTATCAACTTTCGAAGTATCACTATCTGATGTATCCAACTGAATGGATGAACTAGTATGTCGACTATGACTAGATATATCTCCATCTCTCTCCTCCTTATCTCCTGGTTGAGCATCTGGAATATCTCCAGTGATCTCAGCTAAACCAGGATTACCATTATTAAATACACTGCGTACTGGGAACACATATTGTTCCCGCTCGCTCATTTTGTTTTGATCTATGGATGATGATTGTAGTGTGTGCGCAAGAAGTGATCGGCGTCGATCTATATCGCTATCTTTGGAATTTTTAATTTATAGAGAAGAATGAAAATATGATAGAATTATTTGAATATGGTATTTTATTAGTTTTATGGAATTACGCGTTATTTAGTCAAATTACAATTTGCCTCCTTGTACCAAATATTTGGAGATTGTCGAGATTTTCATGATTTTCTTTTTTTTAAAAAAAAATAAAACCCCCAAAAAAGAAAAAAAAAATGAGAACGCATTAAGGACACATATTCATATATATTTATCTCTCTATATTCAAATCCTCCAACTCGTTGGAGTACATCATCAATCAAAATGGATGACGTATTTTTGGATAATCGATACATAATATATGCGTAATACAAAAATATAATAATAAAAATTTATAGAAAGCAACAATCGCAGTGTTTTGTCTTGCGATGTTAATAAAGAAAATTAATCAATCAATCCACCTTTCTCGAAGCGTTTGCCATCTTTGTATTTGAACTTTTCCAAATCTTCGTCATTGCTAATGGATTCAATGATGCTATTCAAAGTTGCGAAATGCAGTGGTTTGAGGAAAAACCCATCAAAACCTTGAGATTTCAACTTGTCCAGATCAGTTGGAGTGATAGATGCTGAGAATGCAAAGACGAGTAATCGTCTCTTCTCTTTGTTACTCTTAAATGATCTACCTTCTTGTTCATATTCCCTTATACGTTTTACACATTCATGTCCATCACAAACTGGCATCATTAAATCCAGTAAGAGAAGATCAAACTTTTCACCTTCTAAAAGCTTATCAATTGCTTCCTGTCCATTTGCAGTTAAGACAACATCTATATCCTTCAGTCTGCGCTTTATAATTCTATTGTTGATAGGATCATCATCGCAAGCTATAAGTCGCGTAGTGTCCTTTCCTATAGTGAGGTTATCCTTGATATCTTGTGCTAAATCAGGTGCATAGTCCTTCACTCTAGCGCCTTCCACTTGTGAGCTATCCAATGTACTGTTATTCTCCTCATGAGGTTGCTGGTTTCGATGCATAATTGAAGGAGCCTTGCCAGTGTGTTTGCTCGAAGACTCATCGCTGATTGAAAATGAATTTGTACCATTAAGATCTTCGATATCACTTTCACTTGCGTGGCTAAGAGGTAGTGTAATCTGCCACCTTGTGTATTTGCCTGAAATTTGTCAATAGGATCTAGAAAACACGCAAAAAACACACCTCCATGGGAAGAACAGGTCATCTTTGCTTGAAGTTGTGATACAGATCTTGCAACTTGAATCAAACCTTTACCAAATGATCCATTATCAGAGCCTTCTGGAATAGACGAAGTAGTTAAATCACTGTCCGTTCCACTGACGTTCTCTAACTTTTCGAAACTGGCGAACATATCTTGTAACCTACGTTGAGAAATACCAGAACCTGTATCTTCAATTTTCAAGACAATAGCCGAAGTTCCCTCTGGATCAGAACTATTTTCTGAAAGCGAAGATGCCTTGATGAAAACTTTACCCTTCTCGTGATTGTATTTTATAGCATTTTCCAGTAAATTTTTGATAATCAATCTAATCTTCCTGGAATCTGAAACGATGAATGGATGGTTCATTTCAGCGGTATCAACTTCTATAGATATTTTTCTACTGATGAGCTCTTGTTTAAAGCTTTCAACACAACTGAGTAAATCAGAAACGAAATTCAATGGTGCCTTCAAAGCAGCAACCTCTTCCGATTGAGTGGTGAGAGAAATTAGATCATTAACAGCATAAAGCATACTTTGAGCACTCGATTTTGATTTCTTGAGATGTTTACGTGTTTCTTTATCAAATACACCACCCTTTTTCTCTAGTGCCATATCTAAGTAACTACAGAAGTGGTGTAATGGTGTTCTCAACTCATGCTCGAAGTCTTTATCTACATTAGACATGAGCAAGTCTGAAATTTTCGATTTTGTACTCTTTCGATTTTGTCCCAAGATCTTTGAATAAACAGTAGATAAAACTGAAGCACTTTCTAGTTCGTCTAATTGCCAATCTTTAGATGTACTTGTAACTGATTCTGTCCATTTTTTGAAACTTGATCGAGGTTGTAAAGGTGCACTACCAGTCGTCTTTTCACTTGGATTACCCGCCCAGGAAATCTTAGACAATTGACCATATCTGAAAAATGCCATAAAATGCTCATTTGAGCTCTCTTTCTCGCTGTTACCAAGTGGTATATAAAGTAATCCAGATAATTGGTGACTTTTACCTAACTTCATTTCAGGGAAATCTCTATCCATTTTTGTAGTATAGTGTATGTCTTTGAATTTCATATTTTGGAGATACTGGCCAACATATTTAATAATATCATGATGTTGCTCATCGCCGAATATTTTCATTCTATCATTATAGCAAACAAGCAGATGATCACTATCGAACAACCGAAGCAAATCGATATTAGAATCTGATAATATACTTCCGCTTCCCATGTCTGTTGGTTTCAACATTAATTCACGACCTCTTAAACGGCTTTTATATATTGCTGTATCGATATTACGAGAAGCAATATCAGAAAACATCTTCAAGTGCTGTTAGTTATTTAAAATTTAATACGACGTACTTACCTTTAACATCTGTATCTGTGGAAATGAAACCCGCATCTCTGATTCAAAGGAATGACATGAGACCAAGCCGTATAGCGATTTTCCCTTAGAAGTTTGCGTAATGATACTAATTGATAATGACGATCTGACGTTCATATTTTTGAGGTATTTGATATGAATAGGAGACATAGCTCTAAGGGAGCAACCGCTCATATCTAACGGATACTTCAAATCTTCCTTGTCCCTAACTACGACTTGACTTGTCGGTGCGTCACGATCATAGAGCTGCCTGACTTTAGTGTCTACGTAGAGTTTTCTTGCTTGAGCTGGAATATCAGAAGCAGGAAAATGTAAACCATGAAATATCTCTTTGCAACACTGCCAATTCATCAATTCACTTACGACAACGCCATTGGCTTCACTGTCAAACTTATACAGTAACGCACGATCAAAACTAGTGATATCCTTAGCAATTCCGACTATAACATCATAAAGATCTTCGACGGATTTTTCCGCTGCTTCTGACAACTGCGCGTCGATATCTTGACAGAGTGTGATAACGTCCAATGAACTAATACCGTCAGGATTGTTAATATGGCGTCTAATTTTTGCTTGTAAGTGGTTTCTGTTGAGCTCCTCTTTCTTTATTGTGTTTTCGAGTTCTCCTGAATTTTCTAGTTTGTTTCTCTCTTCCTGTAACTTCGTATCGAACGCCTTCTGTGTTCTAGCTGATCGTTGGAGAACTCTAAGTGGACGAGACTTGCTAATCGTTGAGCGTCTGATCTCGTGGAGAGTAGCGAAGCCATCTTGACCGAGCGACCAATAAGGTTCATCGTTGTAATCTTCATTCGTTTCGTCTTTGTCAGCAGATTTAATAGTTGTGATTCCTTGAGCGTTATCTACAGGCTTGGCAGTCTCATTGGTGCTATCCGTATTTGTTATAGTCTTTGATATGTCGCTCATATTCTTGACTGTGTCTCCACTTGACTTACACTCTTCTTTAATTAAATTTATTGGATAGAGTGGATGAATATCTTCGTATATTCTGGGTACTGATGTTGTACTTATTTGTTCTTTTGCTGCTGGATCATGAATGGGTTCGAACTCTAATATTATCCTTGGTTTTTTACTTCCAGAGGAGAAATTACCTATTTCGTTGTTTATATCATTTACAGGTGCTGTGTTATTCGCTAGATGAGCAGTGCACCAACAATACCATCCATCACCTTTCTTTCCTCTACCCGACAAGGGAAATGTATGTAGTAAATCAGTTTCTTCATCTAACTCATAGAGTACATCGTAGAGTTTTCCTGCTCCATCATCTTGCAACACCTCCATAAAGCTATCAAGTTGGAATAAATCGCGTACAGATAAGCCACCAAGGTGCTTATTAACATTTTCTGATGCTTGCACGACCCTTACATTGCTATCATCATGTTCGATAACTAACAAACATCCGAAATTCTTTGAAAATGGTTAGCTGAGGTGTGTTGAGTCGTTATAAACCCACCTGTATTGTTCCGGGTGTCGCAATGGGCTCGTCTTCGCAACGTTGTAATTTATCTTGTCCAACTTGCATATAAAATCCATCGCTAGTCTCTTTAAGAGAGAAAGCAGGGTACTTAGGTAAAGTGGTTTCACTAGTGATTTGACTAGAAGTTTGTTTTGCTGTGCTGGCGTCATCATCAGTATCTTCTTGCTGGGCTTTTTTACGACTTGTTTCGATATGTGTCTGCATTGCTTCTGCAGCTGTGCTTGTGCGATACTTATAATGGGAAGATGATAAAGATGATTTATTGTCGTCGTCGCCATAATCTGCACCAACAGACATGCTGGCGCCACTACTAACAGCATCATCCTCTCGCTGTTTCTCCTCTTCGAGAGTTGGATAATCTTCAACTGGATCACCTGTTGCTACCAACTGAGACGGGCCTGAATTTTTTCTATCTGTGCGCTCTCCTGTAATGTTTTAGGGGTGTTCAATAAAAGATTTGTCAACTTACCAGGTAAAGGGAGATTTGGGTCATCCGTGGCTACATTTTGCTCTATTCTTTGTGGAGTGGAGTCTGAGTGCGATTGCTTCGAAGAGTAGTACATTTCACTGCGGAGATCGCCAGGACGTCTGGAATAAATAAATTCTTCTGAGGACGAACCAGAAGGTAGATGTTTTGACATTGTATCAGACTGACCCTGTTGGCTTCCCGAGCTGCCACTAGTATCATCTTCCGGCAGAGATGACCCCAAGTTGGAGTTCTCTTTGGGAGATGATGGGAATATATATCCAGCCATCAACTAAGTTGTTATTGAAGTGCTAGATTACTATCTTTATGATTCGTTTTGATATATTTCGGCGTATTTTTAAAAAGTATACTTGATGACTGTAGATAACGATAAACCAAAACCGAAGATTTGGATGAATTTCTTAAAGATGGCGTAATATAGTCAGAGATAAATTCATAAGGTAATATTATAGTATAATATAGTATAGATATTTAAGATTCTATTTGAATGAGTAATTATCCTGCCTTTCAACATCCATGAATAAACAATTATTCCACAAGTTCGACGTCACTTCACAGACGTTTTATAGGAGTAAACTATCAGCTGCATTCGTTAATTTAAAGCCGATAGTACCCGGACGTGCGTTATTAACTTATTAGGAGTGATATCGGACTAATATAATCAGATGTTTTGGTTATACCACAGAGAAACGTAGATAGATTCACTTCTTTGTCTCCGGAGGAAGTGTCTGATTTATTTCAAGCTGCTCAGCGTGTTGGAAAGGTGTGTTTTGGTGGCTATAAAAGGAGATATCCGCTGAATTGATATTTTATAGGTTGTAGAGCATGTTTGGAAATCGACAGCTCTTACTTTATCAATACAAGACGGCGTTGACTCAGGACAGACAGTTCCTCATACCCATATACACGTTTTACCTAGAAGACCGGGAGATTTTCCTACAAATGATCAAATATATGATGAATTACAGAAGCACAACATTCAGGGAGATCTAGAGCAACTTGTGAGGGAGAAGAAGCTTAAAATGGATTCTGACCGCCAACCACGTACACTTGAGGAGGTGAGAGGGGATTGACAAAAAATAACGTCACTAAAAAGAGTAATAGATGAATAAGGAAGCAGAAATGCTGTCCCAGTATTTCGTATAGCGATGACGTAAGCTATCTAACGTTGTACACTCCCTTGTAATGAAAATAGTTCGATTAGAGATATAAACAGTTTTAAGTATTTTTGCTAGAAGGTTATATCTCTACCATAAGTTTTTATTAAATAACGTCCATCATGTCACTCTCATTTGTAATTAGGGCATCGAATGATACGAAAATACCAATAGAAATAAACGCAGAGAAAACTGTTTTAGAATTGAAGGAGCAAATCCAGTCAATAAACTCAGACTATCCAGCAGATAGGCTAAGATTGATTTATTCTGGAAAAGTACTCAAAGATGAGCAACAATTGAGCACTTACAACATTGCATCTGGAAATACAGTACATTTAGTAAAGGGCGCACCAAAAGCACCTTCTGCACCAACTCCAGCGCCATCAACGCCTGAGAATAACGGCGTACCATCAACACTCGCCACTGGTGCAGGCGCTCATGACAGCTTGATAGAGCAGCTCGGTTCAACAAGAGTTGCAGGTGCATTAAGCCAACAAGGTGTTGATCTTACATCACCAACGATGATGGAAGATTTAATGAACTCACCCGGTTTTTCAGAGTCACTCTCTAGAATGATGAGTGATCCAGCTATGCTTGATCAAGTTTTGAGTTCTCCTCAGTTCGCTAGTCTTCCACCAGAAAGACGCGAACATATGAGACAAACGATGCAGTCACCATTGTGAGTTATTACGATGGGTTTCATAGTTAAATTGACATAACTACAGCTTCCGTCAGATGATGAGCAATCCAGAAACTTTGCGAATGATGATGCAGATGCAGAGATCTATGGGTGGTGGTCCACCTGGAGGTGGTCAAAGTTTCCCACCTCCTGGTGCGTTAGGACAGCCTCCAAATCAACAGCAACAAGAAGAACAACAATCACAATCACAGGAGAATCCATTAGCTGGTTTACAAAATCTTCAAAATATGTTAGGAGGTGCTGGTGCTGGCGGTTTAGGTGGTCTTGGTGGATTAGGTGGATTAGGTGGCCTTGGAGGCCTCGGAGGACTAGGAGGATTTGGTGGATTCGGTGCACAACCTCAAAGCAGCGATAGTAGACCGCCAGAGGAAAGGTTCGAAACACAGTTATCCCAATTAGCAGGTATGGGTTTCACCGATGCCCAAAAGAACATCAGAGCTTTGATGGCAACGGGCGGGGATGTCAATGCAGCCGTCGAATACCTTTTCTCAATGTAAATCATTTGTCCGCGTTAAATAAATAATCTAGTATATATCTATAAAGATATGCATAAATACAATTAGCTCTTCATTAGATCGTAAAAAGCGGATTGAGGGAGATGAATATTTCCAACTGCCTTCATCTTAAGTTTGGCTTTACCACGCTTTTGTTGGTTCAGCTTTTTTAGTTTTCTATCAAAATGACCACCATAGAGACCTTCTGTGACATTCATACGCATAGCTTTGATTGTTTCTCTAGCTATTGGCTTTTGTCCTATAGCAGCTTGTATCGCAACCTCAAATTGCTGTTTTGGGATAACGTCTTTGAGTTTTTTAACCCAGTGTTTACCAACTTCCATAGATTTTGACCGATGTACAATCATGGCGAGTGCATCAACCGGCCTGTGATGTATAACCATATTCAACTTGACAAGATCACTAGCCACGTAATCTGCTTGTTGGTATTCGAATGATGCATACCCACTAGTAGCGGATTTCAATTTTGAGTAGAAATCAGTTACAATTTCTGCTAATGGTAGATGATATTTGAGGTGAACTCTAGGTGGGTTTGAATTTTCAAGGTAGTTGAAGGCAATTTGATCACCTCTATGTTCTGATAATAATTCTATTACATTTCCGAGATACTCATCGGGTACTATAATTTCAGCATTCACGTATGGTTCAAATAGGGAAGACTTTCTATTCGATAATTCTGATGGTTCGGGAAATTCTGAAGGAACTCTAATTATTCTCTCCTTACCATTTTGAATGACTTTGTAAGGCACAGTTGGTGCAGTTATGATAACCTCCGAATCATGCTCATCTTCTAATCTCTGCCTAAATACGTCTAAATGAAGCTGTCCAAGGAAACCAACCCTACATCCTTGACCCAACGCGTTTGAGGATTCTCTATTTACAGTCACACTTGGATCATTAAGAGTAAGTCTTTTGACATTCTCCTCTAAGCGCATGAAATCTTTATTATCGACCGGGAAAACACCAGCGAAAACCATTGGCTTAACAGGTTGAAACCCTGGCAAAGCTTCAACTAGCATAGATTGCTTATAAATTGTATCACCAATATGTGCTTCACTAGATTCTTTCATACCACAAACCAAGTAGCCCACTTGACCATGTTGTAAGTGCGTCGTTGTCCTCTCGTCTGGGTTGAGTATACCAACTTCGGTAACTGTGTATTTACTTTTTGAATGGTGTGAAACAATAACATCACCTATGAGGACTATTAATTGTTGCTTATCTGAGAATAAAGGTACCAACCCTTCTGTACCATTCCACTTTCCAATTTGATAAGCGAAACTGCACCTCTAAACTTATCAAAATAGGAGTCAAAGAGGAGTGCTTTGAGAGGTTGTTGACGTAATGGTATGTTAGATGCTGGTGGCGGTGGAATCTGTTCAACGATAGCATGCAACACACTTTCCACATTGAGACCAGATTTTGCTGAAATTGGCAAAGCTAAATCCATATCGAGATCGAACTGTAAGGCTACTTGTTCAATGACATTCTCTGGTTCAGCAGCTGGGAGATCTATCTTGTTGATAACAGGTATAATTTTCAGATTCCTTTGACTTGCCAGATCAAATACAGATAGCGTTTGAGCCTGTATACCCTGTGTAGCATCGACTAGCAATAATGCACCATCACAAGCTCCTAAAGAACGACTAACTTCATAACTAAAATCGACGTGCCCGGGTGTGTCGATCAAATTAAGAAGGTAATCGTGACCATTGTGATTATATACCATACTAGAAGAATTTGCTTTTACAGTTATACCACGTTCGCGCTCAACTTCTAACTTATCTAAAACCTGCTGATTCTGACCAGGTTTGATCGTGCCGGTGAGTTCCAGTAGACGATCTGATAATGTGCTTTTCCCATGATCGATGTGAGCTACAACAGAGAAGTTCCTTATCCTCTCTGTAGGGAAATCCTCTATATTGATCCATTTCGAATGTGTAGTTGAGAAATTGCGTTTCAGTTGCGACCTAAGGAATGGTAGCCGAGGACTTGCCGACTTTAGTAGGAATTTGAAGGTAAATGACATAAAAATGCTAAAAGAGAAGAAAAGAAAGGATGACGTCTATAGTGAATCTCTAGAAAGTGGCTGTTGATAAGGAAGAACTGTGAGAAGAAATAAAAAAGTAAAAAAGATATAAATTGCTAATAGTATAATAACAATAAAACAAAAAATTACCGATATTGGAGCAATCGTTCTAGCCTCTCAGAAACGAGCAGCTTGAAATTTACTGGAGAGCCGTTCTTTTGAATCCGCGATCGATCGACGAATTAGCGCGTCAAAGTCTAAATATTTAGCGTTAGGCTTTAGCTCCGTATTCATATCTCGATTGGCCTATTCATTCACCGATCACTATCTCTCGCTCGGAAGACAGCCAAAGAATACACGCTTGGTTTCTCACTCTAGCACATAATGACGGATACAACTCAAGTAAAGAGGTCTAGCCATAATTCCTTCAAAAATCTATTCACCAAGGCTTCAAACTCTACTCTAAACAAAAGGACTACACTTCCGAGTTCGCTTCCAGTGAGCGTAAATCGCAGGCACAGTGCTAGCAACTATCCACCCCCATATGCCGACGTGACACCTGCAAAGAAATTCTCTATCAGTTCATCCGTCAGAACCAGCAACACTACACCCCACGTACCAAAACGTACGACTAGTTTATATCAACCATCAGAAACTTTTCTCAACAAAAATGCCGCTATGTCACGCTCCACTATACCCGACAGCCAATCAAACGATGATTCACTTCAAGACATTAAGGCCACATTCGAAAGAATGAAAGATTACCTCGCTAGTAGGGACTCATTGTCGTCTGTATCTTCAGACTTGACTACACCTAAACCAAGCGTATTAGGTTCAAAGCATATGGCAGAGAAAACACAATTCAATACATCAAATAAAGGTGGTATCACACATCACACTTCACCAACAGTAGAAAGCCTGGCTGTAACGATAGAAGAACCTTCATTTGAGGAGCAATCAGAGTTGGATAGAGAGTATGAAGCCTTGATGGATAGACAAAATTTACTCCCGCGATCAGCTTCCACAACAGTAGCTCTCAATCCATCAATTATTGTAGATGAACCAGAAGTCATCACTCCTACACCCCGTTCAAATAATTATAGTCCACTTAAGATGCCAGATGCACAATTGGAAATGGAGACTAGTACACCTACCCAATGCACCAACAAGAGAATGAGTATGCCTGCTAATCTTCCATCCACTCAACATCACGATGAGAGGCGATCATTGACCTACCCAGAGGGCTATAGCAACTTGTCAAGATCAAGGATGTCGCAACAACAACAACAAAGTCAACTTTCATCGTCTAGTTTATGTAGTGCAGCTAGTATGACATCTCCAATCACGAATACGATGTACGGTTCACCTGGTTTGATGACCCCATCTACTTCAACCACTAGTATTGGCGGTGCCGGTGTGAGTCTGCCTAGTTGATTTTCAGTGCGTTGTATTTACTGACATGACATAGAACGGTGATACTAGCCTGAACCTGCACAGATTATCTAAACAAGAATTGTTTAGATTGCTAGTAGATACACAGTCTGACTTCCACGCACTGAAAAGTCGCTATGGATTAGAAAAGGGCGCATTAGAAGACCAATTGAGGGATACACTCGAGGAAGTTGATAATCTCGTCGAGGAAAACGAAGTCCAAAAACAAGATCTTGCCAAGGAGAAACAATATGTCGCAGCCTTAAGAAGAGCGCTGCATAGGGACAATGACGGGGTTGTTTACGAATTAGAGAGATCTTTCAACTCCATAGATGAACTAAAAGGCTTAGTTGATCGTCAACAAGCCGTAATCGATGAGCAAAAAGATGTTATCAATAGATACAAATCGTTAGACGACAGTGTAAGATTCCCAAATAATACCAATATACAAACGAACAAAAGTAATTTGTTAGGAGATGTAACTGCTCCTTTCTTACAGCAGTCACACCCAGATGATACAAGTTTCATTTCGCAACAGAGCGATCTGATAGTCGATATTGATTCAACAGTCCACGATGAGAATGGAAAATGGACTTTAGGTTTAGATGACGACGCGAGGAGGGCGTTAGATGCATAAAAGGATATTTTTATTTAATTTTGGGTTTGTAGCAGCTAATATTTTGTATAACAGCTATACACAAAAATAACTGAGATTTTATATGGGTATGTTTTGAAAGTATCTCGACGATCGACTGGCTTCAAAGCCTGAAAATGTTCTTGCAGCCAAACAAAAACATCAAGACTAACAGTACAGTTAAAGTTTAACAGGAACTCATCCATATAGTGAATAATTTGGAAATGTTTTATGTGGCAGAGTTTTGGTTCGCTTTTAGGAAGAGACAACCTACAAGGCTTCATCATATGTACTGAATGTCGCCTATATTGCATTAATTAAACACACATTGGAAAGTGAGTGTTTATCTTTCCATAAATATTTCATATAAGCACGTAGTGTCAGCATTTTGACTCTACATAACTTCACACTGACACAAGTTGTTGGATGACAGAAAATACATTCCAATGAGTTATGTCTCCAATAAGCAGAGACTTAGTTGCTACCTACTTGATAATGATATTCTCAAGTCTATCCGCGTGCTTCTTTGCTCTTCTTGCCCAGTCTTCACGCCTGAGGGCCTTGTCATGGGATCTAGAGGCTTCCTCAAATGCCATAACGCTTGCACGGTCGAGGAGAATCCTTGATTCTTGTAAGTAATCGTGTGCTCTTTCTTTGAGAAATTTTGCACGCTGTAGACACTCCTTCGAACTTATAGGCTCACGAACAGATAAGCTGCTTGGAGAGAATGATCTGTGATGATTAGAAAGATAAAGATCTTCTTGCTCGGGTTTTTGATAAGACTGTGGCGACGTCATTATGAGAGAAAGTAATTGAAGTATTTCCGACGCACGTCAATGATGGATGCTTCATCAACACGCGTTGGACTAGGTGTCTTTTGAGCTGGCAGCTGAAGGGACGCCGGCGGAGGGGTACTTGTCTGGAAGTGCAAAACAGGCACTGTCTTAGCATCCCTGTGCTGTTTAAACTTCTTAAACCTCTCTCGCCACGTAGAGCTCTCAGATGAGAGTGAAATCGACGACGTGTTTCCGTTCATTGTAGTATGAGATTACATGACGATCGGCTAGTTTGTAGAAAGTTACACAACGGCATATTTGGCTGATAGACAGAATGATTTTTTATTTTTACATTATATTATCGTCGTTTATAAGAAACTCTAATCGAAATTCCTTAGTTCATAACTGTCATCTCAGAGCCGAAGGAGCTCTTAATGAAAATAAGGCGGCATTCGTCTTCACCGCTAACTAAAGATGATTTGAAGGATATAAATCAACGTAGCGATAGAGCGAGCAGAGCCTCAAAATCAAACCGCAATAGATCACGTTCCCGTCAGCGAAATACCCCTACAGGGGATACAGAGAAGGAGGTACAATCACATTTGCAGCGTCTTATAGATGCCAAATACACCTTCAATAAGTCTAAGAAGTTGAAGGCTCTCAACAAATCTCCTGAGTTAGAACTCGCTTCTCCGGAACTTTCAAACGAAAATTGGACACCGCCGCCTGTTGAACCACTCTATAAATCTCCATCTAGGATTAGAACTAGTAACAGTCACTTCAGCAACCTTAGAAGATTTCGAACAAACACTAACACATCAGTTGAACCGGTTGCTAACCCTATAACCGAAGTAAACGATGAATTCCTCTCAATGAAACGTACGAGATCGACTACGATGGATAGGCAACCATCTGAATCATTTTTATTGAACAGTGCACAAGCGTCGAGCTCAGATGTAGATGTTTTTAGAGACACTGATGTGTACGAAATGGAAATCCTCTACGAGAATCAACGAGGTTTGTTCCTCTTTGGAACAGGTTATTGTGGGTAATTATATATAGTGATACACCTATTAACTAATATATCAGTTTCATTCAAATCACTCCTCCCCATAGATCCAGCACCCTATACAAATTCTCAAGGTGAACCCTCGCCTTATACACCTGAATCTATCCAACCACCAGATCCCCTCTGGGAGTGGGTACATCCTCATATGCTTGTAGATATGTCTTGTCGTCGCAAACGTGATGAAGCTGGCTGGGAATACAATACTTGGTTCAAAAATTCCAGATGGACACAATGCGGTGGCCCGTTCTCTTATGTTAGAAGAAGAAAATGGATTAGATTGCGGAAAAGACCGGCCAATGCGCCAATATTGCAATCACAATCTCAATTGCAGTCCAATCAAGCGAACTCTATTAGAACACGAGCGAGGTCTTCTTCTCATTTGAAAATACCAAATTCACCAAAATCGGCCAATTCTACAAATCTCAGTAGTGAAGTAGACAATACCCCACCGGCGTCTATATTCGAATTAGATAATAACTGCGAGGTCGCATACCTTCCGGTGCGACCTAGTGATTTACCAGCATCATCAGCTAGCTTTGCATCTTCAAATTCATTTATAAATCGAACTAATTCGCAAAATTCTCAAATATCAGTAGCTGATCCCTTTTTGCATTATCCGATCTATATATCAGACGAAGACCAGAAAGTTTGGGATCAGATCAATTTGAGGAGGTTAACACGTATACAATCAGCTTGTCAACTTGATCGCGAACGTATTCAACTTTGGCATTGTTGGTTGGCTTTGAATAAGGTTGAAGTATACAACGTTATTCAGTCACATGTGAGTAACTATTATTAAGTAACGTACACTACTAAGATATTATTAGTACGTAAAAATATACTCACTCATGTGTTATGAAACCTACAGAAAGCAACTTGAGGCGCTTTTTGAGAAGGTCGCTAAGTCTAAAGATAATAAAATATCGTCACCATTCCTTTTAACATCATTAGAACCAACACCGGAGATATCGTTACCTCCTTTGTTAAATCATACAACTTCACAATCACCAATTGGAAAATTTCGACCGCAATTACAGATGAGTCCTTTGTCATCACCCATTCATTCACGTCGATCGTCACTCTCATTGAGGCCGGAATTAAGGCCACTATAATTGTAAATTAAATTAGCATTTTAACAATCAATCAATAATAGCAGATTTTGAACATTATCAGAGCTAACAAATAACAAGTCATTCTTTAACAAGTAACTCTATATGGATATCTTTTTCAACAAAACGAGAATAAAGTCTATGAAACTGTTTGAAGCGAGTCTATATAGCTGATGTGCGAGATGAATGCGATTGACCGGAAGAGCTGCGTCTGAGATTAAAAAAGTTCCTCAATGAAGGTCTTTTACGATGAAGAGACGTGAAAGTTGGAATGCTAGATGATTCTATTAGATGAAAGCATATATCGTAGGCGTGCTTGAACGTCAACGGATCAATCGTCGTACTGTTATCGAAAGAAAGTTTGACATTCTTGAGGGTAGTCAATTTGACATCCTCGTCTAAATTGAGTTCTGATAGTGATTTACCGTCAAAGTAGGTTTGTAATATGTTGTCGACTTCGACTCTTTGTTGATCGAGTGGAGTCTTCGGAAATCTACGATTGTAGTCCTCATACCATAGTACGAACTAATAAATGTTATTTTTTGATATATGTATATATGTAATAATACTCACGTCTAAGTTCTCTATACTTTTCTCTTTATTCTGGAGATAGTCTATAAATTGCTCCCTTAGAGTTGTATTCTTAAGTATATCAGCCAGCCTTGTTTGACTAGTCTTAAGTTTCAATCGCATTGCGACTTTAGATTCTTTTTTCTACTTTAATTTGCTCTTGGAAGTCTAGGAATAGTGATAACGCTTCAAACAAGCAGTTCGGCACAGATACTGTCTTAGCCGAACAAACTCTCTAAACAAGTAATTATACGAATTAGAGATAAAATTTCTATAAACGTTTCAAGCACATAATTTCATATCATTATAGTGTAGTAGATCTTTATCTTCACATATTACGCAATTCGCGCAGTAGCTCACTGATTCAGGGCTTTTTATAGTTCAATAGGTGGTTGCACAATATGAACAGAGAATTCTCTAATGTTTTAGGTTTATAGATTAACGATTCTTATTCATTGGAGTACGTCCTTACGGGATCTCACCGCTGGTATTTTATTGGCTGAAATGAGGGTAATAAGCTATTAAATTATTTTAATGTATAACTAGATCATTTACTCTAGGCGTTGTACATCCACCCTATTCTTCTTTCCTTACCTCTTGCGGTCATTATCGAGATGCCAAAAAATGAGAATACACTGAAAAGAGGTCAGGCGTGTCTGAGTTGCCGCAAAAGAAAAGCAGTGAGTTGATTCATTATTACTATCTTTAATCTGACGTTATCTAGCGATGTGATGGAGGTTTGTGACAAGGTATTTTATAGGAAAACAATTTGCTTATCATTATATAGAGAAACCAGCGTGTGGGAACTGTATAAAAGGTAATAAGGAATGTGTATACATCGATATATCGGGCAGAAATGCAGCTGTACGGAAAGATAAGGTACAGAAACTAGAGGAGAGGATACGTAGGTCGTTGTTTCATAGACCGTCTAGATATTTACTATCTCAGGTGATCTGGAACAAAGACTAGAATCCCAACACATCTCACCGGCGATGGAAAATGATATCGCCGATGACGAGCTATTAGATAACTATAATATGGATACGACATCTAGTTTAGCAGGGTTTTCGGGTGTGTTTGCTTCACCAGCACATCAGTTTCATGCTACTTTAACGCCTCCACCATCAAATTCATTAGCGTCGATAGAATGGCCATACCCACCCTTAGATTTAACGTTACATTTAGTAGACACATTTTTCAATAGTTGCCCTTTCGTTGCTCATCATTTGCACAAACCGACTTTTTTTCAGAAAGTTTTACTTCCATCAAGCCATCCAGAGGCCCCTCATCCATCACTGATATACGCAATACTTGCTTGTGCAAGTAGACACTCTCCCCGTACAAGTAATCCGGAAGTAGATGATGAGATTTTTCTTTACACAAAGAATCACAACACCTTCTTTGATATGGCAACTTCTATAGCTATACAATGTTTAGAAGACGAGTCAGTATCGAGAAACACTATCGAAGAAAAAGCGAAGACAATTAGTGCAATTTTGATCATTATTTATTTAATGAAAACTGAAGGGAAAGCCATCAATTTGCATCGATTCAATGCATTGGGTATGAGGGGATTGATCTCTTTGCGCTTTCACATCGATCAGAGTATGACAAATGCGCGCCATCAGTTGGTACCCCTTAAGAACTCTTTTGATAAGGAGCAACGAAAAAGAATGATGTTTTTATTCTACATATTTGATGTTTTATATTCAAGTGATCATGTTGCATATCCTGGGAATCTTAGCTCAAGACATATCCTTTTACGTTTACCTGTTCCTAGTGAAGTGTTCGCTCGGGCGACACGTGATACTATCATACTTGATCGAGGACCATTTATCAATTCGCCATCTTGGTTTGAAGAAAGACATATGGATGGATTTCAATGTGTTATTAAATCAACGATTTTAATGGACAAGGTTAATCAATTCCTTCATGAATCTATTCAGGAGGTCACGAATCAGAATTTATCAGCATCTAATCAACTGCCCGCTTTTGGGGAATTGGACATGCTTTTAACAAATCACCAGTCACAACTGCCTGACTGTTGGGAAAACTACAACGGCGGTAATTTCAACATCGACAATTATTTCGCGCATGTTATCGCCCTGAATGCTCTAATAAATTTGCATAATGGATATATGCAGGATCACTTTTCTAAGAGGAGATTATTGGGATGTGTTAAATCAGCATTATCGGTGATATACTCGCTCCTCAACACCTCCTTCGAGCTATCAAAACTACCAGCTTTCGTAACAAGCTTGTATGTAGGCTTGGCTGAGATATTGATAGCAGCATACAATCAGACTAATGACGCAACCATGAGAGGATCGATCAAGGGGGAGTTATCTACTTTCATTGAAGTACTTAATAGAATGAAAAAACGGATTCCATTGGCATTTCATTCGTTACAACGTTTGAGTAATTCACTCCAAAGGAATGGGATTTTTATCGATGTAGGAGAAAAAGTAATCCCGACATCGAACTATGTACCTATTGTGGAGCATATAAGTAGTTTTGATGTCGCTGCACCGATGCCACAAGACACAGATATCTTCAATTCTTTCGATATAACAGAATTTGGGTGGATGGATGAGAATTTAGGGGAGGATGTATTAGCTAGCGTAGGCGAATACTTGTAAATATTAGATGTTTGTAAAAATTAAAATGTACATTAGATTAAATTATCGTTATCATTTAAATTTATCCTCACTCTTGTTATCCAACTACGATGGCACAAGGTGTTACAAAACTTAAACCAAACCCATCAAAGAAGACGCACAACGCTCACAAAGCTTCTAAGAATGCCTCTATTATGAAAAAAGGTCAGAAGGCTATTCCACCAAAGAAGAAAAACGAAGTTGAGCGCAAAACTAATATGAAGGTGAGTAGCAGCTTATCTTAAAGTATAACCTATTTAAAGCATAATATAGAAACTCAGTTCATCTATTAACAACAATATCGAGAAGCAAATGGTTGGTAAAGCTGCTAGTGGTCCACTTCATATTATCAAGGAAGAATCTTTTAAGAAGAACGATATGAAGAATAAAAAGCAGTAGGATATACACTAGCATTACTATTCGATTTGTACTATAGACATTTATGGCATTCACTTTCAACTTCTAATTCAACATATCTCGATCAGTAGTACAACAGAGAAGATTTATCTAACAATCAACTAATCACTATATCCCTTAGCTTGATTGAGGTTAATAGAGCTGATTTCAGATGTTATACCCTCGGCTTTCTCGATATCTTGGATACGACTACGAGCTGGGTTTTCAGGGAAGAGCTTATTGTGCTCTTCAATGGAACGTGGCCGTTCTCCTTGTGGCGTAACTAACCTACATTAGATGCTAATTGATAATCTATTTTCACTTACCCCTGAAAGCGTGACGCTGATTAGGGAAACTATTGAAAATGGCGCTGTGTGCAGTAACAGAATTTTCAAAGATGACTACATCTCCAGAGCCCCAGCGTACACGGACTTGCGCGTCAACTTGATCCGCAACTTGCCTATAAAGGAGATTCAAAACGTGATCGTTTTCATGTTTAGGGAGTGAGACAAAATTGTCACCTTGCTTAGCTAGCAATGCACGAGAGAACCCTGGTTGAACATAAAGCGCTTTCCATCCGGTCACAGGATGAACTCGAACGAGTGGATGGATGTGTTCAACAGGGGGTCTTCTAATTGGATGACCAGCGGCTTCAGCACCTTTTGCTTGATTTACACCTGAGTGAACAGCGTAGAGTGTCTCCAAGTATGCTTGCAGACTTGGTGAGAAGCTGTCATAAGCAGCATAAGCAGACGAAAATACTGTATCACCACCTGTAGGTGGTGCAGTAATTACTTGCAAGAAAGTGGCTGTTGGTGGTTGTAACTCATAGGTAATATCACTATGAAAATTCTCAGTAGGAGTGAATGCACCAGTATTTGGCTTCTTGTACTTGTCAGCGTAGATAATGTGCAAATTCTCTAAATCTGGATCCTCAGCAGCTGCTCTCGCTTGAGGAGATACGGGATGCTTATGAAGGACTGGTGAAAAGTATCTACCAAATTCCAATGCCTTCTTTGGATCAACTGGTTGGTTTCTGAAGATAAGAATACCTCTCTCAGCAGCCAATAGTGCGAGATCGTTGAGTTGCGCCTCATTGAGCGTAAACAAGTTTTTACCTTCTTGGAAAGTTACTTCTGTTCCTATCGCCGGTTCAATGTTGTCGATCTTGCTGGTAACGCTGAAAAGATCCTTCTTGTTCTTGTCCGCAAGGTGGCCTTTATTGTGATGCTCAAAAGGGGTCTCACTGTATGGCTCCCATTTGAGATCAGGGTATGCTGGTTTGAGATGGTTATATGGGTAATTTGGATCGTCGTTTGCAGATCCTACGTTTGGGTAATCTTGTGTCTTTGGTTGATAAGCTGATGCTGATTGGAGTGTTGTAATCGTCGTCATTTAGTTTAGCTTAATTTGCTAGATAAAGAATAAGGAAATAAAATACGCCCTTTATTTAAATGCATGCTGCTATCTGATTTGTAACATTGAATGAAACAAAATCACGTCAGTATTGCGTATCAATAAGGACCGAAAAACCGAAGACGTTATTCGTGATTAGTTACATAGGTGTGATAAGCATGCGCAGATTATTTGGCATATTTCGATCTGAGAGATGATCATATGACCGAGAAATTGTTCTAGCGAGAAATACTCTTGATTGTGAGATAATTTAAGAAATTATGTTATTATATAGAATTGCTATCTTAAATACTATTCTAATATAAGAAATCAATCCGACTCGGGACTAAACTTTTATTAGTTTCTCCACTTTCCACCCATTCGTTCGTTTATTCAAAAATGTATATAAAGAAATGCTAGTAAATATATTCAATCTGTCATAAAATTGCATCTTCTGACGTTTTAAAACTATCTTCTCATCTAACAATCACTTGATAACTGAAAGTATACGACAAAATAAAAAAATAAAAATCGGATGCCCAAGAAAAGCAGCGATAGGCTTGTAAACGCTTGCTACAACTGTCGTAATGCTAAATCCAAATGTACCACTAGTAACACAGAAAGTTCATGCGATAGATGCAATAAAAGAGGCCTCGAATGCGTCGTAGATAGCATTATACGGCGACGAGGTAAAGATCGTAAACCTAGAGTAAGTAATAAGCGGAAAGAAGCATCAAAAGAGTCGTCTGAGATAACGGATGTAGCCGTTAGATCATCAACGAGGCAACTATCGAATAGAACTTCTAGTTCAACTAAAACAAGCTCTATAACGACAAGAAATTCTACGAAGTTAACGGACAATAGTCATAAGGATTCCATTAAAGATAGATTATTCTCTAGCAACAATAATAACGACATCTTACACACCACCAACTTCCCAGAATTTGCCTATCAAACATCATTCAATCAATCGGCTAATAGTGCAACTGTACCTTTACTTTTCAACCCTACGAGCGACTATCAACAGTCTACATATTGGGATGTCCTTATCATGGAGAAAATGAGCGAATATCATATCGATAGGAATACTGCAATTAAACACATTGTTGGTGACCTTTGGATTGTTTTTAGTCGGGCTGATTTGATAGCGACGATGTTCCACCTTCCTACAATTCTCGAAGTCATAAGGAGTCAACAAAAGAGAGACACACTCGAGCCAGCACTTATATACATCCTATTGGCTATATCCTATGCAATGCAAGGTCGTTCTGATAAACCTTGCGCTACACAATCAAAACTAAAAGCTCTCAATTATGCTGAAACGTCCTACACACATCTTATGTCAGCTATGAGTACAAATAAGATGACTTTAGGTGTAGCACAAGCAGCCATATGCTTACAATATTATGAACTGTTTCCTAAGCCAATTTTTGATGTTCAGAAAACGGGAGCATGCTTGGTTATAGCTGATGCTGTAATAAGAACCCTAGCACTGACGTGTTTAGATGCCGACAAAGTTGAACATGTTTATGATGACGACGGAATTTCTATCACTACGACAGATTTGGAAACGACTCAACAAAGACCTTTGACGCCGATTTCAAACCATTCGTCACCACTTCCAGAGTTATGTACTCAACCTGAATGTAATTGCCAGAAGTGGACATACGATGAGCTGCACATGCAGAAAAAGGAAGGAATACGCTTTCGTTTCCTTCCCCGATTTGCAATCAACGAAATCTCGGACGAGAAAGAAATCAAAGATGAGGAGATACGCAGAGTTGTTTGGACAGCTTTAAATCAAAGTTGGTATCAACAGATGTTCCAACCAACATTGAGTCCGCTATACATCAACGACAGCTCAAATTATGGTATTTTCCTTACCTCTGAGCGCTATGTTAGCAATCTTCCCAATCCTACCGATAGAGATTGGTCGAGACGAACACTCTACGCACTTCTAGATCGCGGAAAGCTACTTTGCCATGGTGCTATGCGATTGAGGCTGCCTTTATTGGAATTCCATATAAAAGCACTCAAAATTGTTCGGGAGGCCGATATCATTGAGACCGAGCTCGAAAAACACACTTGTCATAATGGTATTCCACGTTGGCAAGTTTCTAACGTCGTATTCCTTACAAAGCTTGTTCTCACTGCGAAGCTGCGACGGATTACAGATTTCAAAGATGGACAGAGAAGTTATTTCACCCGCATACAAGCCAAAAAGTGGCTCGGAGATCATGGAAATATCTATAGACAGGTATGTTTAAACGCATCATTAGCGGTATGTTTTCTGAAAATTTGTTAGTTTATTGGCGGTGGTATAAAAGATGCACCAATGATACTGGGTGTCCTTACCGTTCAGGCATTACGTTGTCTCGACTTGTACGGTATTGATGGCGACCTAGTCATGGCATTATATGTATCAAGGGGTATCCTTGCAGCAATAGAACAATTGTTACATTTCCACCCATGCGATTCACCCGACGTCCAACGAATGTTAGATAAAGTCCGAAATTCATGCAACTTTGAACACGAATCCATGAAAAAGGCTTTCAAACCACCAAACCCACCTCCACATCCGCCAACTTTTGAAGAACTGCAACAATATATAGTAGAACACAATACAATCAGCGAAATGCTATAATGATTTTTTTTAATACACGATACCTCATTCACGGAAGATAGGTAAATAGTAATACATTAAGGAATTTGTAATTTAATTTATTCTCTTTTATATTATGAAAGGGTATTAAATAGAAGGGAATGAAACTTTTACAGAAGCCATATTACACAATTAATTATTATAACAGCTATTACTAGCGATCTGCATACGGTGGAGGTATATGCTGATCTTCTTCATGGAAAGAACCAGCATCTTCATGATAAACACAATTACGCACCATACTAGATGAGGTGAATTTTGAGGGAGTTGTTGATCCTGTCGTAGGGGAAATAGGCTGTCTTAGAAGCTGGTAATTTGTGGGAGATGTGGTACTATCATTATGAACGTAAGGTTCAGGTTCAAACTCGTCTATGTCCGCGCTCTCAGGCTTTTGTCCAATTTCGACTTCTTTTGCGTTAGATACATATATTCTCCTTTTGTAGCGTCTTATGTAGAAGAATATACCGACAGCTACTGCCCCCCATAAAGCCACACCACCAACAACACTACCAGCTACTATTTTTCTGGTTTTCTGTGCTCTTTCTTTGAGATCCTCTTTGGCATAATCTGAATATCTCGGTGAAGGCTTTGGTGGACTACTGCAACTAGTATCCTTTCCCCTTGAAACCACTTGATTTGGTGAACTTCCGCCGTGATTGTACTGTGACGATTCCTCCTCTAATGCCACAAACACTAATTGAGTTCCTTTTAAGAGTCAAAAGAGTTCATTGCTAACATTTTTCAAATCTGAAAAGTGTAATTTACTCACCTACGGGCTCTGTTATTTGATACGCGACAGTTTCATTATTCGAGGTCAAATTCTTCCTTATCGTACGCGGCATAGTCCCAGGGCTGATTGCATAGTAAGAGTATGGTATAGTGTTGTTTTTCTGGGCAATACCGAATTCCATCCATTCGCATGTTTTTGCTTCCTCTGGATCGTTATAGAAAGTCCAACTGGCTGGAGAATCATAAAGACAGCTATTAGAATTCCCTTGCCCAGTTTTCAGTATAGAAGATGTACCTGCACTACCGAAACCGCTTGCATCACTAAGTGTAATAGTGAACTCCGTGCCCTCAGGGAAGCCTAGAGATGGTAGTATGATTTGATCAGAATCATAATCACGATTATAGTCCGCTATCAGATCAGGAGTATTAGACGCTTCCGCATTAGATGGGACAAGAAGATATGAAATAGGTGCAGTCCAGTTCCCTCTATAATTTATTGTAAGCTGTTCACATTGATTTGTTTGTCCGACAAAGAAACTGAATTCGGAGTAAGCCGAATTCAGAAGGAAAGCTACGGCTAAAGTCTTCCTTTTTTGGACCATGATATGTTACAATCAACGGGTTTAATGCGCATTGACTACAATGCACAGCCGTCGCGGAGTACCCTAGTCTACAACTAATTCCGAAGGAGAAACCATACAGGTGAAGAGAGTGGCAGCAAAAAAAAAAAAAAATCAAGGTCAACGTTAATCTTATCCTTAACAAGTAACTTTAGTAGTTTAGATGTTCCTTTGACAGCTGTCGTCTTGGGATAACAAACCAAGCAAGATTCCCTGAATCTTTTCGTTTATACATAGCTTTCAACAACTCTTACATGTGTATATTTCCTGTTAGAGTCTTACACTCGTCTCATGATAAATTTCCAATTTTTGATGTTTATTAATATTGGATGCGACTTTACATGATCAGTAATGCATTAATGAACTTATTTAATTCACAATCAAAAGGTCAAATAAAAATGATGTGAAAATATCAACAATGTCAAAAATGTTATAGGATGTTGCATTACATGACTGGCGCGTTATTGAACTACTGATGGAATCTGTACAGGTGAAGAAATGTAATTGTCTTCTTCATGGTAAACACGATTTGAATCAAGTTCGATCGAGTGGAATTGGTAAGAGTTGTTGTGCCTGCCGTAGACGAAACAGATGTTGGAAACGTTATGTAGCATCCATCAATCACAATGAAGACTTGGGCTGAAATTATCAATGACACGCCTGATTTTGGTCCAATTTCGACCTTTATCACTTTAAAATTTTATAGCAATTGATTTATTTTGATACTTTTACAATTACAAGCCAACAAAAAGTACATATTGTTACCTAACAAATTTGGCAAATTTTCACATATTCCAGTTCATTTGAAACGCTCTTCGCATCTATCTAAGACTGGGATTGTGATGATTTTTTGTGGAACGAGATATCTAATGTAATTGTCACGTGTGACAACTTATCTTAGGGTCCATCAAAGTTATGTTCTAGCCATGTCTGAGAATTTATCAATCTAGTGATTACGAACTGATACATAATTTAATATCAAAATTTCCATGATGGCAATTACACAGCTAATCAAGTGTTCTGTTGTTTGGTTCTCGGCGGAGCCGTCATTTGACATAAAGTTTTCGCACAATTACATGGTTCAGTGTAAGAAATAAGTACATAACAAAGGTTTTGAGTTATACTTAGCACTATTATTTCACAGCAATTAACCCCTTTTGAATAGTTGTAAAATCATAACTGGTCTTAAACTACTAGTCCAAATATCAGACTAAGTTTCAGCAGTACAAAAGCTATACAACGCTTCAGAAGCCTGAAAACCCACAAAAGATCAAACTGGATCCTGTAAACTCTGAAAAATACGATGAGGCTATAATCACAGTATCTTAATTGAAATCGCGATTACAATCTACCACGATAACTCGGTATTAGGAGCTCACTTTAAATTTTACATTAGTTTCAGTATTTTTAAATCAAATTCAACGATAACCTTGCTTAAAAGGAAACCAAATCTATTGCTGAAGTACTTTCATTTTCACTTATAAATGATTGTAATCAAAGTTTCTCCAGGGTCAGGTGTTACATACCTGCTAAGCAAATGTGGTCCTTTCCGTCCAGAAATTCCCAAAATGGAAGCTCCTAAAATAAGGGCATTTCAGGGGTCGTGATGTATATTGGCCTCAATTTTGTACAGTTGACATGCTAAAAGGACAATATATGCACAATTACCATGAAGTTCTGTCATGGACAGAATTATGATATTGATTTATTAGTCTAATACATGTTTGATCTAAAACGTGAAGCTAGTAGATATGACAAATAATGCAACAATTGCAGTGAGAGAAGTGACGCTCGTATGTGTAGCTTTTGAATTATCGCTTGAATCACCTTTACCATTTGGAGAGTCTTTATGTTCTATGGACACGCGATTTATATCTGAATCATTTTGTCCATTCACAACATTATCGTCTTCGTCTGAGCCAGATTCTGATGCAGACTCAATTGATACAACAGTTGGGTTAGCCACTGTAGCTAGTGGGCCACCCCATCCTGTTTTTGTTGGTTCAGGGTGGTAATTTGTATTAGTACTGGTTGGAGCACTAACAGTAGAGCCATAAACATGATTAACATAGTCCTCGAAGGTCTCTCCCTGTTCCACTCCTTCGTCCGTTTCAACGTAGAGGTTTGTGGTGTTCGTAGCGGCATAGAATGGAACAACGTATTTGAAGTTTTCCTTGATTTTCGGATACATTTCCATGAACAGGTCCATTGTGTTACCAGTAATTTCATGAGTGAGAACAATTGTTCCGTGGTCATTAAAGGTACCGTTCTTTGCTGCATCGAAGACATCTTCGTAGTTTTGACGTACTGTATCAATATCCAACTGTGAAAAATTGGTCTGCCAATCCTTCGTGTCATATTCCCATAGTGTGGTTTCTAAGCCGAGGCTCTCTGCGATGAGACGAATACGATCGTCGACATCACCGAATGGAGGTCTCCAGCAAGTAGGTGTTACACCAGTTACTGCCTTAATTGCCTAAAACACTTGTCAGACGGGTGGCCACTTTTGTAGCTATTTCACTCACTTGGATTGTGTAATAAAGCTCAGCGAAGGCGCCCTCATCATCAAATGAAGTCATGTGATGATGAGACCAACTATGTACGCAGAGTTGATGACCATCACTACGACCACGTTGAGCCTGATATGGCCAATTTAGAACGTTTGAGCCTATGTAATACATATTGGCCTTTAATTCATTCTCAGAAAGGAAATCGTAGAACTTGTTGTGTGAACAGTTTGGACCGTCGTCGAAACCTAGACCCCATGTTTCTGGTTCTGGAAGATTAGTAATATCATCTGAGAGACCCTCAACCTTTGGTTTTGTGCACTTATTGAAGGTGTACCAACAATCTGGGTCAGACACATCATATGATGGTAGCGTCTTTGAGAAGTCACCATCATGAGTGCCCTTTGGTTTGATGTTAGATGGGAGTACCTGTTTGATCTCGTTGAACTTGTTCTGAGCTGCAGTGTCACCTTCGACAATAACAGCAGGTTCCCAAATAGGTGGAAAGTTTGGCTTTATTTCATCCACCATTGGTACATTATAGGACGTACACTCTTCAATAGGATCTTGAATTAAAGCAGCGGATTCTGCGTCAGTTGGTGGAACATTTTGGCTTCTGGATAATCCCAGTAAGCTGAGTGAAAAGAGTCCTGTTCTTAAGAACATATATGTTGTAAGATAGAAGGAGCACAACCAGAGAATAGCTAGATAAGAATTCGCCGTATGCTAATTGAAATCGACCATCTGTCTAGATTAATTAATACCCGATTTGGAAGGATACCGGGCGGAGACAAATCTAAAACAACAAGCTGTGTTTAAAATCGACGGATTAGGCAACTAAACTATATTACCGAATGCGGTCTTATCAATAACTTGCGTCATTTAATTATTATCAACAATTTTACTACCACGTCGCTGGTATCTAAATATAAAATGTATCATACAATAATGTTCTTTCATTTTTGATACGAAAAATATCAAGCTATCCGAACCTAACTGTTGATAGTAGTGACTTAAGCTGACGATGAAAATTCGTTACACTGTAAAATTAAGAAACTTCGTGTCGAATACAAATTACATAGCTGAAACAATATCAATTATCATATCAAAGAGTAAAAGAATTATTGATTATACACTTAATCCTATGAAGAACCTCAATCTAATTCGGTCGAGTTGAACCTACAAGCTTGTTAGAATTCTAACCTATTATCTTAATGCCACCATCATCGCATCAATACTAATACCGATTAATTTATCTTAAGACATCTTCATTTTAATGTGGACCGGCAATCCCGACAAAGCCATAATTAACGACAATAACAAATAATAGCCATACAGCTGACATTAGAGAAATATCTATTCTAATTTCCATGTCAGCTGATGATCTACTCGACACAGCTCACAAAGTTAAAAGATGGTCACACTCATCGTGGAAAAGCGAAATTTGGCATCTTTCAAGAACTCGCGAATGACGAGCAGCTATCAACAACCATTTCACTTGGTTGTCATAGATCTCGAAATTGTGGAACTCACAAGCACTCTATTGAAAAGAATTATATATTACTAGATATATTTTAGGTATCTTACTGGTTAACCTTCATTCTGTAGTAATCCGGAATATCTTGCTGCTCTCCTTCCGCAATTAGGAGATATTCCATTCCCTGTGCTTTGTGTGATCCTGGAAATTTGTCAGAAATGCTAAGTCTTACTGCTTTACTCACCAACATGGCAGTGGAGAAGAGTCGGTTCAGCGGCACCTGCGTGGAATCTAGTCACAAGATATGATGGCGCATCAGGAGTCGATGGTGCAGTGTTAAATGTATGCAAATAAGCCGGATCATCCCAATTGATAACTCCTGGGTTTTTCTCATCAAATTCGCCTACATCGGAATAATCCCATGGTCCAGTACCGACTGCAAGGAGAAATCTGTGTAAACCATGGAAGTGCATCGGATGCGGTGGTTGAGGTGACGTTCCGTTAACGATGAAGACGACATCGACGACACTATGAGCGTGATAATGAGCAGTTGAGCTAGCAGAATTGATGTATCTTTCCAAATTAAAAAGCGCAGGGGTATCAGCATCCATTTTGGACATGTCGTAGCGTTGAACCTCTGTTCCATTATCGCTTAAACCCCAATACAATGTACCATCATATTGTATCGTCATTATTAAAGTTTTATCTGCTGCCATATTTTTAAGAGGAACATCAGGTGCATCAAAGTTCTTCAAGTGGGTTGATTGCACAAAAGTGGCATCCTTATCAATTATACCTCCACCGTAATTTATTGTTGGCTTTGATTTTGGTAAAGCTGGTAACCCTTCTTCTTTTTCATACTGAACTTCATACTTGGCATCTCCTTCCATACCGTAGCGGATAATGGCATGGGTTCCAAGTATTTGTGGCATATCTAAATTACTAATTCGCATAGTGTATTCACCAGGTGTGTGCAACTTAAAACCAATACCTATGCTTTCACCTATTACAAGCTCAAATGCATCAGCTTGCATTGGTTTGTGATAGTTTCCATCCTGAGAGTAAAGATAAACAGGGTGTTCATCAATACTGACGATATATGACCACTTTGAGGAAGCCGAGACCATATGAAAAACACCCCATTGTTCTCCATCACTACCTTGTACGTAATCAAATTCAAATTTAGGCACATCTGTGTTAGTTTCCTCGCAGTTGTACCAGAGATCTGGATCAAGAATTGTATCATCTGAGACAGCTGGTGTTGATTTAACAACATCAGGGCAACCCTTAGCAGTAACAAAATCTGATGCGATCAAAGCATTCATGTTTTCATCAGCATAACTCTTGAGTTTGTCCATAGATGGGCAATTTTTGCGACCGGAGCTGTTTATAAGAATTGAATCATAACATAGGAGTTCACTATTCCAAGATTCTGATAGATCTATCTCATGAGTACCATTAATACTAGCATATTCAGAGATCATTATAATCTGAGGGTCCTTGTCCTGATTTTCAAGTGACGCGAGTTCTGTATCGTCTTTCGTAAGCAAGTTAAAAGGTTTCTCTCTACCATTCTTTGGACGAATATAGAGCGGCAGAGCTTGGCCATCCTGGTATACATCCTTATAATGAGAATGGAGCCAATAGAGACCATACTGATCAGATGCCTTCCATTTGTATGTAAAGTTCTGACCTGGCTGGATGGGAATTTGTGAGACACCGGGAACACCATCAGAATACATTGTTCCTTGTTGCACGATGCCATGGGCATGTAATGTAGTATTGCTGCTGGCATTATTGATATACTCTATCTCAACAACGTCGTCTTCGTCTATGACGAGCGGTTGAGCACCATAGAATGGCTTCCCATTAATTGCGAACATATTACGTAGTTTGCCGCCATCCAAGGTTGTTAATACTTCTGTGACATTTAGCGTAAATTTATGGTTATAACTGCTAATGTCTTGGTGACTGTTCCCAATCAAGTCATCTAGGACTCCCGCTAGAACTTCTTTATTAAAAAGAGCTAATAAGGCCCCCTTTAAAAGCATGGCTGGAGTAATCAATTGAATGAAGAACACAGGCGGCTATTGGAATTGCCGTAAGCTAAGTGAAGGTCTAGATAATAAAAAATAAAAATGTAATAACCATAGATAGAAACATATTTAATTGAGCACAGACTACGTCGTCTCTTCTGCACTCAAAACGATGTATAAGTCTAAACGTGTGTAGTATGAATAAGAAAAGCATAGCAATGAAAACCATGCTCCATTCACACAACACACAAGACTTACCAATACAAGAGACCGGCTCGTTCTGAGAAGCAACCCATTGTAAGCTGTCTATTACTCATATACCCCCCACAAACGTCATGATCAGTCTTAGCATACAATCAAAGTGACCATTATAATAACACTTACAAGAGATAACACTATATTGCTTTTACTGACGAATGATGTACTAAGTAATTTATTTATCAGGGTCTTCTATATTAAATCCATGCCAAGACTAAAATGAGATGGGTTGGATTAATATAACTGGCTTATAGTAATAATAATAAATATTTAAAATGATCTGTCAGAAGTATCGATTTTAAAACCTTCCATCGTTTGAACGCAGTTTCTATTCGATCACACCCTCTTTAACCTGGACCACGATGATTTAATGGCCACAGAACCTGATGCGACTGTGACTATAGCCAGTACATCACATCTTAACGCTTACTACGGCTTAATTCTATCCGGTGCTTGCGGTCACTTTTGCCTACTCTTATTCACACTTGGCTCACGACGTGTGCATAAGCAAGGCGTCCTAATCAACTTCTACTTTATTTTCATGATTACCCTTTGGTTTGACTCCATACTATGCTGGACTAATAATATGTACAACCCGGAGCCCCCTAAATCAATACAAATAATTAACGTCGTTATAAGGAAATCTGGTATGTGTATGAACGCGGCCTCTACTCTAGCATGTGTGATAAGGTTTTGGGTTTCAACCAATATAGCTGCCTCCACTCGAGTATCCAGTTATTTACACATTATCGATAATTCCGGATTAGTTATCTTCCCATATATAATCGGTATACCCTTTTTGTAGGTAGAAAGTTCTATAAACAAAGGGATTTTCTAATTATAATTGCACTAGTATCGCTTATCTAGTCTTTCTAATAAGAGATACGTCTTTGGTCCACAGAACGCCTTTTTATTGCGACAGTTTCCACGTAGGATTGGACGTCGCATCAACGATCGTCGCACTTATTATTATGGTTTTCGTTGTTATTCTCGCGTTTTGGTTGACTGGTCTTCTAGTTCGATTGCGGGCCACTCAACGTGGTTTAGTGAGAGTTAAATGGTCAGTCAATTTACAACTGACGGCACGGATATTGTTGTTCTTCTTTTACTCTTGCACGTCGGTAACTCTGCATGTTTGGAATCTATATCGATTTCCAGGCTATAGGGTATCTCCAACATTAGTTTTTGCTAGTACAGGCTTGGTTGCATTCATGTTATTCCTTATACAAGCTGATATTCTGGCCGCCTTGGGTCACTATATGGGTTTTGAAAGGAAGAAAAAGCTGCCTATTCAAAATTCAAGCGACAAAGATCAGAGGTGTAGTGGAATAGAAGGTCCAGATTATCAAATGTCATTAGATGCGATATTCCCCCAACTACCGTCACCAGTGAGAAAAGATCAGCATCAAGACTATGCCGAGCTTGAGTCTCTTGAGAACATTTATGCTCAGAGTCTCAATCACACCCACACTTCTAATAATGCAGCACATCAGAGTATATGATTTAAAAAATATTTCGAACAATAGCAATTTTGTATAAATAGATGAATAGTATAGTTTAACAATTTAGTAATGGAGGGGTGTATCGTTTGACTCCGTCAAGTAAGCTAATGCACCAATGCATAAACATACCACAGCAGAAACTTATGGTAACCTCCATAAGTTAACTTTTCGAAACGCTGCAGATATTCGAGACAAATCCATAGAGTATACTGTTCTTATTGCTGAATATAGATAGCTATTACCTGCTGACCACGCTGAGACGAGAATAACCCCGTTGAGTATATGAGGCAATACTTTAATCCCAGCATTATCCATAGCAATTACGAATTTACCGGCTGATGCCTCACCTGCATCTGAGCTAAGTCGGGGGTCTGTACATGAAACTGTGAGCGTTATCAAGAGAACAAACGAAAATATAGAAGACGATCATCCTCCATAAAACCTCTTTATCACTGAAGGAATTTCCTTGATTGGAATTCTAGTCTCACGTGAAACTAAGACAACGCTTTCTGCACCAGAGTATGTGTAAATCCCATTGACAAAGGCGGACAAACCCCCTAAAAAGCGACCTGCAGGAGCGCTGATATCTTCATATTGAACCCAGGGTGATTCATTCCAATACCTGAAGCCAATTCGATTAGTATTGAATAAGTCACAGATTGTATATTCTCCATCATGATTTGGAAACGTAGAAGCATCTGGCTTCCGCAAATTGTACATCTGAGGAGAACCTTTCGAGTAAGTTCTCATTAAAGATACTGTCAGATGAGGCAAAAAATGCTAATACATGACTAATGAAATGCTTTTCATTATTGTTTATCTGGCTATGCCGGTTCTTGATATCTTTCGATAGGTCCATTTCTTCTGCAGTCCAGAAAGAAGCATTTGCTCTCTTGTATGATTGCCAGATTGCTGCGTATTGTATTGGGAATAATACAAACCTTCTTGGGTTTTCCTTCAAAAGAGGTTCGTCTTCCTCTTTGTAGTTCACGTCACCGAAGAAGTATTTGCCACGCAATTCCTCTGCTGCGTAACTAGAGAGGTCAAGATCGTTCGCATCTACAACTGTCTCCTCCTCTTCCGTAGGTTTGCCGCTACAATTTGCATGCTCACCAAATGAAGGCTTTTTTGTGGCTGACCGTATTAAACCCCCTCTCCAATGGATTTGCGATTTGCTTTGAAGGCATTTCCATCGTAATTGGTTGATTTTCGTCCATAAACCATACTTTTATTTGGTTGTTAAAAGATCAAGAAATCAGTCGCGCATTTGACGCGTCTTCATCTCAGAACTCGGACTTTGTCTCCGAGGATTTAACCGGCAGCTCTACTTCTTAACAAGAATGAGTCAGATTAGATGACCTGTGCTTCAGTTGTGATGTCTCATTCCGAAATTTTAAGTCTGTAACACATTCTGTCTCTTCTTTATAACCAACAACAAAAATGTGCTTGAGTAACGTACACGCTGAAGACAACTTACAAGTATCCAAGGACATGATCAAAAACGTCAAATTAGATCAGCTTACAACAGCTATTGAGTCCAAGGATCTACCATTCCTGCAAACTACTCCAATCCCATTTACATTAGTAGACAGGCCTGATAATGAGGAAGGCATTCTTACTGTTCACCTTGCAAGAGCAAGTCTTCAAGCCAAAGCACTTATCGAGGCTTCCAAAGCTGCCGATGGAGCCGAACTTGAGAGGGAGATTCTCTTTTCTTCACATCAGATGCAAATTCTTATGTTACGCGAGACATCCAAGAATACTGTTATTTGATAAATTGACTTGTGAAGGCCCAAGTATTACGTAAAAACTAAGTCAAAAACAGGTAAGGTCGTACGTACTTGGAATTACGCAGCTGTGCAGGTTTATGGACGGATAAAAGTCCACCATGCTATCGATGACATAAAATCTTTATTTTTGTAATCACAGGTCACGCAGCTCACACAGCTCACAAACGAGAATGAGGCGTCATTTGAGAACCAATGGAAAGTCAGTGATGCATCAGACGAACTCAGTAAAAATGTGGCGAATCTCATGAAGAAAGTTAAGTGAATGTTTTACCTAGAAGCACTCTTGCAATTTTATAACATTTCGATATTCGACTCTTTTTCGCACTCAAAACATCAAAACTTCAATGTGATTATAAGTGCATCTGGCAATTCATATATGAAGATGATATAAAAGGTCGAATCGATTGACACTTGGTTACCCTTAAATATATTTGGGACCAGAATTCTAATGGTTATTATTTCGACTGTACAATGTCTTACTTCAAATACAAAAACTTTTCAGCTCCTAAAAGCTTATTCCATTCACATTTGCAACATAAGCAAGAGTAGTTTTGCGATTACAGAAATCACCGATAAAAAAAATATGTGGGCAATGTACTATTATTATTTCATACAAGGTTACTAATTCGAAGTCTCGGTGAACACCATTAATTTAACCTTTATATTTGAAGCACCTATTGGCTGTAGTATCCCAAATCCCTGTTAGAACAACACTTGGAGAACATCTTGCCATTCAATCTGTTATCTGCCGTAATAGAGCTACGACAATCTCCATATTTCTCACTATAGCCGTATGGGATACTGTATTGGTCTGCTGCTATACGACAACACTCTTTAGTCCAGTAAGGTGCGTATGAATTATCACTTTTTGTGCAGCCACCGATATGATCAGCTGAAGCTGAGTTGATAAGTGCGAGAATAGCAAATGGAACGACGCAGATGGTTGAGAAAACTGATAACTTCATTTTGTACTACTTCTGGTTTCTTCTGAAAGACTAAAGTGCAAAGAAGTTTACAAGCCAGTATTTATATCCTAGAAAAATAAAAAAATGAAACTTTAATACTTAGTTACATGCATATCGGAAGGTAAACCTTAAAAAATTGGCACTTGAAACCTTATTTTTTATCTCTCGAATGTGATTACTATTATTATTTTCTATCCATCTAGTACTCTGTCTGCAGTCGCAGTACTTAAAGTACTCTGATTCAACTCATATCTAACCATTTTTACCTCTTTAGAGGCAAGTGCTACTGCCATCAACCAACAAAACCTCCTGCAATAATTGTTTTGAATAATATTGTCCCAGAAGTAGCCATATTTAGGCGAAAAGTAGTCTCAGGAAGTAATTACAGGCACAACTGCCCGGGGCTATTCCGCGGACGGTCCGCCTAATATGATCGGAAAAATGTGTTTATAACATCCTAATTTATAGGCCTTACAAGCCTTACGTATTTTTCCTAATGTGGATACGTGTGGGTGGACGGTCCTAAGAAAATTGGATTTGCAACGATTTTCCAAAGTATTTAGGCTAAACACCTGACCAAAATTACCGGCCTTTAATTGTGCACAGCTTGAGTTAACTATGGAAAACTCCCGCATCATCAAACTTCAGTTCCGTATCACATTTTGTGGACTACGAGGCTTGCTACATCAACATATGTGCACTACTAAAACTTCCTCTATCATTATATACTCTTACAACTGGTGACCGCCCGGAAACGAGCGTTTGCATGAATTGTGACGGGGGGTGTTAGATGGCCCGTTGGGGTTTTCGGGGGTGTAGAAGTCGCCTGTGTTAATCTCAAGGTCATACCTTCCGCCGTTGCTGAGATTTGGAATTGACCATAGGTTATGGTTACAGTCCGAATCTAGGCCACAAAAACGGGATCCTCGAAAATGAGAAAAGAGCAGGTATCCACTAAATGGACGTGCAGGAACAACCTGGTAGTATTCTTGTGGCTGTAGCTGCCCTAGTTGCTGAGATATGGAAATGCTCACCTATGACGTCAGTCGATCTGCCGAGGTTAGGTTATGGTTATGGATTGGTTGGTTAGGTTTTAGGTTACAAAATACTATCAAAAGATCGTTACTAAAATGAAAATTTTCAAAATAAGACATCTTAAAATACTGCCTAAATCAACCGGAAGTTTGTCATTCTCTTCCTTACGAGCGCAAATGAAATAAGCCTCTGTAGGTGGTCCCAGTTGGGAGTAATCCTGCGCCATTGCTTGAAGTGTTCCGTGGTGAGAGTACTCATGGCCACCCCCCGCACCAAACACAATTGGCACAAACGTAACTGGAACATGGTCACGATACTTGAGGACCTTCTTGTGGGCTTGATGGTTCAACCCGACTCGAATTAACTCACTACCACTCTTCTTCTGCCAGTCCTTAGT